GCAGAATCGCACATGCGTGCAAGGTCTACCATACGCTAGTTACGCTAGTTACGTCAGTTACTCTAGTTACGCTAGTTGAAGTGCCCCTAATTTTGGTGCAGTGCGGTGCGAGGACGGTGCAGGAGAACTGCACCGGCACCAAATTATGGCACCAAATTCAACTGACCCGGTATTGTAGGAGCCGGGCATCACAGCATCACAGCCATGACCGACCAGAAAGCCATTTAATTCTCAATATTCGCTGCTTTCTTCAATGGTGAATTTAGTCAGCCAAGCCTTAACTCTCAAGTTCAAAGCGTTCTTTTAAGGCGAATGGAGAGGCCATGTAAAACCCGTTCTGCCGGATTTTGTCTTGCAATCTTGCAACAGCGAAACCCCTTGTCGAACAGATCGATCTGCAGCACCGATTCGATTCGATTCATATTATCTTCCCGTCTTCTCTGTCTTCTATAGCTAGACAACTAGCTAGTAGAGATAGCTTGTAGTCAGCATCAACCCTCCTCGAGCCAACATGTCTACTCCCAATGCTACTGGCAGTGCTGATTCTGGTAAGAGGTTGCTACCTTCTAGCACTGATCAGCACTGCCAAAATCAACAGCCCCAAGATGTCGAGGATATTTCGGTAGTGGACCCACCCAGTGTGATCGATATCCCCAGATCGGAAGACATGAGTTGTGCTTCTTCCGTCACTACACACTTTCAAGATGCTGAGCTATTTGTCCCTCGCATGTACCCATCAGCACAGAATCTACACGATACCCATGATGTACAGGATCCCACCTTTGAGCCAGTCACACAGCAGCCAAGAGGACCGACAACGACACCGACACCGTCAGTTTTGCCACCACTTCACGAGGAATCATCCCAAGACCCTGCCGATACATGTAGCAAGAGTACTGGTATAATTGCAAGCAGCCAAAAAATCAATGAAAATCGAATCCTCCAGGAACAAGAGAAAGTTACCATACAAGATCTCTCCCCTCAGACTCCATCCATGGCAAGCCTGGAATCACGAATCAACCAGAAGACCCAGGTCTACTCAGTTCAACAGATTTCCTTTCAAAGCAATGGAGATACGAACATTGGAATCGGTCCTGTCATCCAGAAGGATCAAACGTTAGATGAGGTGGCCAGAAAGGTTGCTGATCAGAAAGCTCCCTTTGCCCCTGCTGACCGGCAAAATCTCCATTCGACTCTCCAGAACGGACTGAGCAACCCAGCCATTTCAGAAATGGTTGCAACCACAAGTGATGATGGCACCTCCTCACCAGTACCAAATTCGATCCAGGAAATGTCAAAGCCTCAGGAAATGTCAAAGCCTGAGGAAATGCCATCCGTCCCAGCTCCTAGTAGAACTGTGGTGCTCGAGAGTATACCAGGAGCACATGCTGTTGGAACATCCCAACCCAGCCAGCAAACAAGTCAGCCAAGCCATAGTGGTACTATGAACACTTATGCTGATGATGACGAGGAAGCAGCAGCCGATATCCAATCACATCCACCCGAGTCATTGGCAGAGGCAAGACCTGTTGCTGAGGATGACTTGCCAGTTGCTACTGCGGATAATGGGAACCAAAACAGTCGGAAGAGAATCAATTTGTGGTTTCATCTCTTGGGAAGCATATGCGTCCTTTTGGTTGTTGCGGGTATTCTTATCGGGGCTGTCTGTGGCACTGGGCACTGCAGTCGGAAGGTCTATGTGGATGCAAGCAGTACCATAGCACCCACCACAGCAAGAGATGCTGTCGAAGCACCTGAAATTGAAACTGCCTTGAAAATGGTTTTCGGCAGGGACTATTTCAAACACGTGGAAGAAACTGAAGATAGTTTTGATGTTGACCTCTCTGAATTCTTGCTGGGAACTAGACTGAAGGCATTTGACTGGATTGTCAATCAGGATCCAATGCAGTTGGAGTATGATTCTCCCAACTTGGTGCAGCGGTTTCTGCTGGTGCTTTTCTACTATCAGACCACAAGGCACAAGCCGTGGAAACAGTGCAACCCAGTAGCAATTCCCCAAAGGAGTGCAACAACCAATTTTTGCTACATGCCACACATTAACACTGGCAAAGCAACATTAAATATATGGGGTGATCAGTGGCTCTCTTCCAGTCATGAATGCCAGTGGGCTGGAATTAGCTGTGGTGAAACTGTGCAATCAAAGGAGAGGACAGTGGCTGAGCTACGTCTTTGTAAGTCGTGAGATCAAGGTTGGCATGCATGTGATTATATTTGTTTCTGACACTGCAGTCCTGTTGATGCTTCAGATTGGAATGGTCTAAATGGCCCTCTTCCCTGGGAGATCACAAGATTACCGCTGCTGAGAACTCTACGGCTATACAACAGCATGCTCACTGGAACACTGCCCCCAAGACTCTTTTCCAAAAAGGCAGGTGTTGCCCTGGAAACTCTTAATTTGGCCTCGAATCAGTTTTCTGGCATCTTTCCAGCGGCATGGGTTGCAAATCTTCTTGAAGGAAATGGAATCCTTACCTCTCTATATCTGCATGGAAACTCACTGACCGGGGAAATTCCATCAGAGTTGGGTCTACTCTCTTTGAAAGTCCTCTCACTAGCAACCAACACTCTGACAGGTACGATGCCACTAGCACTATTCGACCGAACTTCCCTTACATCACTTCAATTGGGAAAAAATGACGTAAGTTACTGCTCATCGTGCTGTTATCAGACACTCAAACCCATGCATGGCAAAGCTTACCGTATTCTTGGTCTTTTCTGCTGATTTAAAGCTCACTGGGACACTGCCAAGCGAAGTTGGACTGCTCACTGATTTGAAATACCTGAACTTGAATTACACACAGATTTCTGGTTCCTTGCCCTCAGAGATTGGCCTGTCAAACCAGCTTGTTGATCTCATTCTCTCCAACACCAACATGCAAGGGACAATCCCTGAAGAACTCTTCACAGGAGGACTTACAGATCTTTGGTATTTGTGCATGGATGGGTGCAACTTTGCTGGGACCATCAGCCCGTCACTTGGCCTTTTGACAAACCTTGAAAGGCTGCAAGTCTCGAACAACCACTTCCATGGCACTATTCCCAATGAGATTGAGGAACTGACACTACTAAAGGAATTGCTGGTGAATGGGAATGATTTATCTGGCACAGTTCCAGTCTCTTTTTGCCAGACTCGTTATGCTGGGGAAAGAGCTTCCAAAGTTGTGGCTGACTGTCTGCCCAATCCAGAAACCGGAGTTCCTGCCATCCAGTGTGCTTCTGGTTGCTGCACCAGTTGTTGCGACAACACTGGAGTTTGCCTTTTCACTTGATTACTCTCAAGATCAAAGGTCATCAAATTCATTTTCTTGTTTAGATCTGTAGCATGTATGTGCTGCGTTCTATCCACATATCAAGTGTGAGGCACAGGTTTTGTATGGGCATGCAGGCTATGGTACCATAAAGTTTTAGAATTTCGAGCGCCATGGAGAAAGGTTGCCTCATGGTTGCATTGCTGTCTCTGTGATGTCTTCATATGGGCCCTGTGCTGGTGCTCAGACAACTAATCAAGCCATGCGGTTACATGAGGTTGATTCGATAGAAGATCCACCCAGTTTGATCCCAGTCTCAGTCTAAAGAGACCAGTTGATACGAGCTGTGCTTCGCCTGTTGCTTCACTGCACTTTTACGATGAAAAGCTATTAGTCCCGCATCTCCCGAATATTGTCATTGATATTTTCATTGTGTGTTGATCGTAGCCGTCCTTTCATCCTTCCACCAATGTTGCACGAGAACCAACGTTCGTTCAGAGCAGTAGTTCCGGCGTCCCTCCAGCCGGCGCAAGCTAAGTTGGTCGACACCATCAAAGAAACTCGCCCCTTCCAACAAGCGTGGAGTGACGAGATACCAGTTTCGTGGAGCAGCGGCGCTTGCTAGCATTTGTGCCGTTGTTCTTTGTTGGTACGATTCTATTCCCTCGTGTCGCATTATCCTTCAAGCCGATAAGAGCAGCTGGCGCAGTACAGTAACAAGATGCCACCATAGCGTCTTCGTTCTTCCAGCCACGTGCCAAGCGCCCGTTGCAAGAAAACTCGTTGGTTCGTTGGTTCGTTCTGTTCCGATCCGTTCTTTACATCCTGCCACCGCAATTGAGCCGACGAATGATGAATCTCAGTCCACACCATGAGCAGCGACACACCGACACCACGCGCAGCCATGGCACCGTACCGTCGTCGTCGTCATGCCACGCTCAAAGAATCTCGCTGCCCAATTCAGACATTCAGAGCTCTCTAGTTCTACCATTGCTTTGAGACCATCAGATATATGCTTACAGCACCACCATTGTGGCATGTTAGATTTCAATAGCACGTAGTGGAAGGGACGAGCGGGAGTCTTCGATTTTTTTTTGCAAAGGTTTGCCCTCGCGTGCAATTGCATAAAAATATAATTTAATAAAATAAATGACTGGACAACTGAGTTTTGTAGTTGGGGGGCTAAGCTAGGCAGAATCATGTATCCATTAAAAGTTGGGTGTTTGGGGTTTGGGATGTAAAAGTCGATGATGGTCAATGACCGGACTGGTCATATTATCGGCTGTTGCACAATAATTATACTATTAATAGGTCACCCCCTTTCGGAAGCAACAGCTGAAGCAATAAAGCATCTTGAGGATCCGGGGTAAAAGTGTTTCGCAATGTCTGGCAATGAAGAACAGCTGGATTTAAATAATGGCCAGACCGACAAGACTTACTGACTTATAAGCTTATAAGTAGTCTACCTCCCGCTCCATCCTGGACCCAAGTGGCAGCACATAGACTCTAGCTAGTAGACAGCATGCAGCGGAAGGAGAAACTCGGCGAAAACAACAGCGGAAGGGGGGTAGAGTGTTACTTTACTAATATGGAAGTGATCTCCAGGTCTTCATCAACATTGTGATATCAGTCAGCCATCGATTGAAACTCTTATCCATCAAAGTCTGGCCTGGCCTGGCCTGGCTTCCACTGTTTTGATCAGGATGTCAACTACTGCTGCTGCTGGCAGCGGCGATGGTCTCGTTAGAGTGCTACCAGAACCTTCCAGCACTGATCAGCAATACCCACAGCCACGGCAAGATGTGGATATTGAGTCGGTAGCGGAACCACCCAGTGTGATCAATATCCCGAGACCGGAAGACGTGAGCTGTGCTTCGTCTGTCACGACTCATTTCCAAGATGCTGAGCTATTTGTCCCACACATGTACCCATCAGTACAGAGTCTACATAATACCCATGATGTACAGGATCCTACGTTTCAGCCAATCGAACAGCAAACAAGAGGACCAACAACCACAACGACGACGCCGTCAGTTTTGCCGCCACTTCTGGAGGCATTTTCCCAAGCTCCTGCTGATAGCAAGAGTATCACTGCCAGCCACCAACAAATCGATGAAAATCGAATCCTCAAGGAAAAAGAGAAAGTTACCATACAAGATCTCACCCCAGAGACTCCATCCATGGCTACCTTGGAATCGAGAATCAACCAGAAGACCCAAGTCTACTCGGTTCGGCAGATTTCCTTTGAAAATGAGGGAGATACCGGCGTTGGCAATGGTCCTGTGATCCAGAAAGAGGAAAAAGATGATGAGGTGGCCAGAAAGATTGCTGATCAGTCTGCTCCATTTGCCCCTACTGACATCCAAAAGCTCCAATTGACTCTCCAGAACCCACAGAGCAACCCAGCCATTTCAGAAATAGTTGCAACTGCAAGTGATGATGACACCACCTCACCATTGCCAAATTGGATTCAGGAAATGTCAAAGCCTGAGGAAATGCCATCCGTCCCAGCTCTTAGGAGAGCTGTGGACCTCCAGAGTATACCAGGAGCACATGCTGTCCGAACATCCCAAACCAGCCAGCAAACAAGTCAGCCAAGCCATAGTGGCACTATGAACTCTTATGCTAATGATGACGAGGAAGCAGCAGCCGATATCCAATCACATCCACCCGAGTCATTGGCAGAGGCAAGACCTGTTGCTGATATTGAAGATGACTTGCCCGTTGCTACTGCTGATAATGGGAACCAAAACAGTAAGAAGAGAATCCATTTGCGGTTTCATCTCTTGGGAAGCATATGCGTCCTTTTGGTTGTTGTTGGTATTCTTGTGGGGGCTGTCTGTGGCACCGGACACTGCAGTCAGAAGGTCTATGTGGATGGCAGCAGTACCATAGCACCCACGACAACAAGAGATGCCGTGGCAGCACCGGAAATTGAAACTGCCTTGAAAATAGTTTTGGGCAGGGACTATTTCAAACGCGTGGAAGAAGCTGAAGATAGTTTGGATGTTGACCTCTCTGAATTCTTGTTGGAAACCAGGTTGAAGGCATTCGACTGGATTGTCAATCAGGATCCAATGCAGTTGAAGTACGATTCTCCCAATTTGGTGCAACGGTTTCTGCTGGTGCTCTTCTACTACCAAACCACCAGGTACAAACCGTGGAAAGAATGCAACCCAGTAGCATCTCCCCAAGGGAGTGCAACAACCAATTTCTGCTACCAACCACATCTTACCACTGGTGAAGCAACAGTGCAAATATGGGGTGATCAGTGGCTCTCTGCCAGTCATGAATGCAAGTGGGCTGGAATTAGCTGTGATGAAACTGTGCAATCAAAGGAGAGGACAGTGGTTGAGCTACGCCTGCGTAAGTCTTGAGAGTGTTGGCATTCATTTGATTATATTTCTTTCTGACACTGCAGACCTGTGGACGGTTCAGATTGGAATGATCTTAATGGCCTTCTTCCCTGGGAGATCACAAGATTGCCACTGCTAAGATTTCTACGGCTCAACAACAACATGCTGACTGGAGCACTGCCAACAGGACTCTTTTCCAAAAAGGCAGGTGTTGCCCTGGAATCTCTTGCTTTGTACTCAAATCAATTTTCTGGCACTATTCCTGCAGAATGGTTTGCAAACCTGCTTGAAGGAAATGGAGTACTTGCCTATCTAGACCTGTATGGAAACACCTTGACTGGGAAAATTCCATCTGAGTTGGGTCTGCTCTCTTTGAAAAACCTCATACTCACAAGCAACACTCTGACAGGCTCTCTCCCACAAGAAATATTCAACCAAGGTTCTCTACAAGGGCTCTATTTGGGGGAAAATGATGTAAGTTACTGCTGGTCGTGCTGTTTTCAGACACTCACACCCATGCATGGCCAAAGCTTACCTTCTTGTTGGTCCTCTCTACTGATTTCAAGCTCACTGGGACATTGCCAAGCGAAGTTGGATTGCTCACCAATTTGAACTACCTGTACTTAACTACCACACAGATTTCTGGTACCTTGCCCTCTGAAATAGGTCTGGCAACTGTTCTGCGAGATATTCATGTTTCCTACACCAACCTGCAAGGGACGGTCCCTAAAGAATTGTTTGGACTCACAGAACTCAGGGCCTTTGTGGTCATCAATTGCAACTTCAAAGGGGCCATCAGTTCATCAGTTGGCCAATTGACGAGGCTCGTATGGCTGCACCTGGCAAACAACAACTTCCATGGCACTATTCCCAATGAGATTGAGACATTGACGCAAATAAAGGAACTTCTGGTGAATGGGAATGATTTATCTGGCACAGTTCCAGTCTCTTTCTGCCAGAATCTTTATGCTGGGGAAATAGCTTCCAAGGTTGTGGCTGACTGTTTGCCCAATCCAGAAACCGGAGTTCCTGCTATCCAGTGTCCTTCTGGGTGCTGCACCAGTTGTTGCGACAAGACAGGAGTTTGCCTTGCCACTTGATTGCTCTCAAGATTATTAGGGTCTTTTTAATTCTTGTTCTTTTGTTTAGATATGCACAGCCCAACACCTTGTTCTATTCTTAACCTGGCTGCTTGAGATCTGATATCAAGTGTGTTGTACAGATGCCGCATTGGTACCATAGGGTAGAGCCACGGTGGAGGCTTGGAGTGGTAACGTTGCAGAATTTTGAGCAACTGGAATTTTTAAACTAGCTAATAGGAATCATCATTCCACTTACCCCAACATGTGTTACCGTAGATGGGCTGTTGTCAGGAGTTCAATGCGATGCATCTTCCAAAAGTTCCAGATTCTCAATCTTTCCTGTAAAAGAGTCTTCAGTGTAATCCTGTACCGGAGGGTGTTAAAGCAGTTATATGCATTCCATATTCAAGAGCCACACTAAAATACTCCTCTTGCATCACTCGATCACCACGCATTCGACGGGGAGTGTAGGAATATAAATTTTACTTGCACCATCATGCAGAGGGAGCTGTTTTTCGAGAGGTCAGAATTTCTGCCTCATCATTGCGTGGCTGTCCGTGCATATGATGCTGCTTTCCTGGCACATCACATGGCCATGGCAATCGAGGCCAGGAACAACAGCAAATCTATGCAAAAAACCGGGCCGGGTGATTGGTGTCCGTCGTTGTGTAAAGTATTACATCGGATGTTGCAATCATAGATATGCACCCAGCAATCAATTTGCTGGTTGGCCAACGGCCAGAAGTGCAGGAAGTGCTAAAGGATATCAGTTGCTCATTTGCCAACGAAGTCATCATGCCTGAAGCAGGAAGCACAATGCCCTTGACGGATCAGATTGACAGAATCGAATCGCCCATTCAGGAGTATTACCGTACGAGCCCACGGAAGACCAGATCAAAGAATACAGCTGTAGCTTTAGCGCCAGCGTCGAAAGAAGCCGCAGACTGGTAGATTTATGCATCATGAGATATTCGAAGACGAAGATTCACCAGTCTTCTCGTGAGATGGTAATTTCAAATGCTGACGATACGGCAGACTGTCACTCTCCTCTGTGCGTGCGAGTTTTCGTGTAGCCTCCAGTTGGCTGTTGAGTTGCCTTTTCGCCTTTTCAACATGTCGATGTCGACTCGACTCGGACACTTGGAAGCATCTACTGCATGGAGGCAGAAAGAAGTGAGTTGGAGATCTGTCTGGCAATCTTTGGCTGGGTAGAACAAGGAGAGTGGATATCTCTGCTACTATCACGGTCGCATTATTATAAGGTGGTACGGTAGAGGCTTCATGGTCGTTTGCTCCGTGATCCGTGGAAGAGGATGTGTCATGTGTAGAATCGAATCATCACCTCGCTATACACCTGCTACCAGGTACCTGGCTAAGCAACCACGAGGAGCCTGCCATGCTGGAGCCTTCTTCAAAGGGGTGCTAGTATGTAAACATGAGTAGTAGACTAGTACGTACATCATCTTGATCAGAGCAAAGACAACACTCAGAGTAGAGTGAAGAGCTATGTGAAGGCAAGGTTCGAAAATCGACACCCTGAGTACTCCCTGAGTGCAAAGAGGAGCAGGGTAGAGCAGATGGCGCTGGTGCCATGGGGGAATTATGGAGCAGATCCATCCGAATGATGTCAGTGGAGCCTCACTTAATCATTAGGTCTCCTTAAGACTGCCCCTAGAAACGTCAATTTAAGTAAGTTGGACCTTGAAGTCTGATTGCAGCACTTTGCAAACATGTACTAAGAGTAGGTGGTTGTTCCGACGAGACAGGAGTTTGCCTAGCTAGCCGCATGATTATAATGCTCTCAAGATTAAAAGGGTGGTCTTAATTCTTGTTTAGATCTGTAGCAGCTCGATATCATGTTCTATCAACATCCTGTTCTATCAACCTGCCTGCTTGACATCAAGAGTGTGGCACGGGTGTGGTACCGGTATCTGTATGGTAGAGCCACGAGGCTGGAACCTTTGTAGAATGACGAGTGCCAGGATTGTTGCCCCATCTTACCCGTAGCCTAGGTGAATTGCAGCTACCGTACCGTAGCAGAAAAACATCGCAGGGTTGGCGGTGCAGTGGTCGAAAGTCTTTGCGTTGAAACCGATCGGTATATCGGATTTTGCGGGCTTACCCAGTAATAGATTTTGCTGGATATCGTAACCAGCCAGTTCTGAAGTACGCTGAAAGGTATCCGTGTGATAGTTTGGCTATCTGCAGGGAAGCTTCTACATCGGTTGATGATGATGCAAGGAACGCCCTCTATTCGGCACAATTTCTCCTCGCCCTTGACGAGTGTTGACCGTTGACCCATGACAATGGATGTGTGCAGGACCGTCAGGACAAATGATGAATCGAATCGAATCGAATCGAATCGATCGAGGCTTGGCAGTACTAGTACTGTACTATGATATACCGGTAGCTAATAGCAGCTGGCAGTGGTTCTTTCTTGTTCTGTCCCCCAAAAATCAAAGTGAAACACCGAAACAATGTTAATTCTTGGAGGCTCCCCTGGTAGCTGTATGGGATATTGTATCCGTGCACGAAGGACATTTATTTTAATAAAAACCAGTACTCTAAAAGCATTTTCAGTTAAGTCTCTAATTGCAAGAATGCTGTTTTGGGATTGAGGGCAGTATTGGTCGCAATTTCAATTAAAGAAAGCTCCCCGAAGTCTCGAAGAGGAGAATGTCAGTGACCATATTTGGGTCATTATTCCTTCAAGTTGCGAGTGGGCAATAAGCTTTTAAGATGCGTCAGCCTTCTTCGTACCTCCAAGGAGTTATTCTTGCTTTCCCTTCTAGTTTTTACTGCCAGCAAGAAGAGCCGATCGAAAAAGGATGACTCAGCGACGAAACAGCAAACCTAGCTAGTCTACTTTCACTTTCACTTTTTCTCTTCCAAGTCTTCATCAATTGCTACCAGTACTGGTATCAGTCGTCCAGAGTCGTCCAGAGTTGATCATCGGTGGGATAATGATACAAAGCAGTACCGACCAGCAGCTGCCATCGCAACAGCACGTACAACACGAAGAGGAGGTGGTCATGGACCCTCCAAGTTCTATTGACGTCCCTAGCCGGCAGGAAGACATGAGCTGCGTGTCTAGTGTTTCTACACGGCACTTTTATGAGGCTGAGCAATTTGCCCCAAGTGTGTACCCATCAGTTCAGAATTTACACGACTCTAACGATGTCGAGAACCCTACGTTCGAGCCGGTCAACCAGCAGCCAAGAGGACCACCAACGACACCGACACCTTCTGTTTTGCCCCCACTCCCGGAAGAAGCCTTGCAAGACCCTGTCGATACATGTAGCAAGAGTACTGGTTTAATTGCAAGCACCCAAAAAATCGATGAACATCGAATCCTCAAGGAGCAAGCAAAAGCTAGCATACAAGATCTCTCCCCTGAGACTCCATCCATGGCAAGCTTGGAATCACGAATCAACCAGAAGACCCGAGTTCGACAAATTTCCTTTGAAAAAGGGGGAGATACCGGCATTGGCATGGGTCCTGTGATCCAAAAAGATCAAAAGTTAGATGAGGTGGCCAGAAAGGTTGCTGATCAGAAAGCTCCCTTTGCCCCTGCTGACCGGCAAAATCTCCATTCGACTCTCCAGAACCCACAGAGCAACCCAGCCATTTCAGAAATGGTGGCAATTGCAAGTGATGATGACATCACCTTACCATCACCAACTATTTGAGATTTGCCAATGCCTGGGGACATGTCATCCCCCCCAGTTACTACAAGAAATGTAGTGCGCGAGAGTATACCAGGAGCGCATGCTGTGCACCCATCCCAAACCAGGCAGCAAACAGCTCAGCCAAGCCATAGTAGCCGTCTGAACACTGATGCCGAGGATGAAGAAGCAGGAGGAGATATCCAACCACCTCCAGCCGTGTTACTGGCAGAGGCACGACCTGTTGCTGAGGATGACTTGCCTGTTGCTACTGCTGATAATGGGATCCAAAACAGTCAGAAGAGAATCAATTTGCGGTTTCATCTCTTGGGAAGCATATGCGTCCTTTTGGTTGTTGCGGGTATTCTTATGGGGGCTCTCTGTGGCACTGGGCACTGCAGTCAGAAGGTCTATGTGGATGGCAGCAGTACCATTGCACCCACCACAACAAGAGATGTCGTCGCAGCACCTGAAATTGAAACTGCCTTGAAAATTGTTTTGGGCAGGGACTATTTCGAACAGGTAGAAGAATCTGGAGATGATTTGGATGTTGACCTTGCTGAATTCTTGCTGGAAACTAGACTGAAGGCATTTGACTGGATTGTCAATCAGGATCCAGGGCAATTAAAGTATGATTCTTCCAATTTGGTCCAGCGGTTTCTTCTGGTGCTCTTGTGCTATCAGACCACAAGGCACAAACCATGGAAAGAATGCAACCCAGCAGCAGCTCTCCAAGGGAGTGCCGCAAACACCAATTTTTGCTACCAGCCACATTTGATCACTGGTAGAGTAACACTGCAAATATGGGGTGATCGGTGGCTTTCTGCCAGTCATGAATGCCAGTGGGCTGGAATTACCTGTGAAACTGTGCAATCGGAGGAGAGGACAGTGGTTGATATACAACTTCGTAAGTCTGGAGATCAAGGGTTGGCATGCATTGGATTGTATTTGTTTCTGACACTGTGGATACCTGGATTCTTCAGATTGGAATGATCTTAATGGTCCTCTTCCCTGGGAGATCACAAGATTGCCACTGCTGAGGGTTTTACGGCTCAACAACAACATGCTCACTGGAGCACTGCCAACAAGACTCATTTCCAGAAAAGCAGGTTTTGCCCTGGATGCTCTTGATTTGTCCTGGAATGATTTTTCTGGCACTATTCCTGTAGAATGGGTAGCTGATTTTATGGAAGGAAATGGCAAGCTTACCGTTCTTCGTCTGCATCAAAACACATTGACCGGGAAGATTCCATCAGAATTATGTTTGCTTCCTGTGAAAGACCTCATGCTCTCAAGCAACAGTCTGACAGGTTCTATTCCACGAGAAATCTTCAACACAAATACTCTACGAGTGCTCTATCTGGGTAAAAATGATGTAAGTCGCCCCTCTCTCTTTTTCTTGGTGCACCATAGTCCGCACATGCCCAAGCTTACCTTGTTTATCTTTGTGCATTACAAGCTCACGGGAACTTTGCCAAGTGAAATTGGGCTGCTCACCAATTTGGAATATCTGAACTTGAATCGCACACAGATTTCTGGTACCTTGCCCTCAGAGATTGGCCTGTTAAACCAGTGTGAGGAGCTTGTACTCTCTAACACAAACATGCAAGGGACAATCCCTGAAGAACTCTACACTGGACTTAATCCTGGGTATTTGTACTTGGACGGGTCCAGCTTTACTGGGACTATCAGTCCATCACTTGGCCTATTGACAAATCTTGAAGAGTTGCATGTCTCCAACAACCACTTCCATGGCACTGTTCCCAATGAGATTGAGGCATTGACACTACTGAGGGAACTTCTGGTGAATGGGAATGATCTATCTGGCACAGTTCCAGTCTCTTTCTGCCATAATCGTTATGCTGGGGAAAGATCTTCCAAGGTTGTGGCTGACTGTTTGCCCAACCCAGAAACTCGAGTTACTACCATCCAGTGTGCTTCTGATTGCTGCACCACTTGCTGTGATGAGACAGGAGTTTGCCTTGCAACTTGATTAAGGGTTATGTTCTGGTCGACCTGTAGCCGTCACCGCCATCAATCCGTGTGCTATATATGTATTAACTATAGATAGTGTGTACGAGTACGGAAGGCTTTTGCTGGATGTTGTTCTGCTGGAAGCCAGGAAGGACGGCGTCAATCGCAGGCTAAAAGTGGCCGAATTCAACACCACAGCATGCAGTGACGATCCACCACTTGCAAATTTTCGATGAAGCTTTGGTTCGTGGCCGTCCACAATGGACTCGACTCATGCATAGTGACGGCGCTGGGTTGCTAGCTCTAGCGTCCGGAGTAGAGCAGTATTCAAAGTATCTGATGACAAACTCAGAGTTCGGCAAGACATTAGAGATGCCTGTGTGCAGAACATTTGCCCCTGGCGATCATTGCATGGTGGGGGCTTGGGTTTCAAGGAGGCTGCCGAACTGGGTTGCCGCCAACGGCGACAGGACCGGCTGCGGGTGTGGGAGTGCGGTGTTTTCCTTAAGAGAGCCCTAGTTACCTTTGCACCCAGAGCCTGGGTCCATGGGCGTCGTCCTTTGTGCAGCTGGCTATGCCACGTAGCAATACCTATGAGAGCACCCGAGCCCAGCCCATGGTGGGGGGGGGGGATTTGTTGCCGAGGTCATGGGGAAATTGCGGAATGTTCATCGTCTGAAGAAAGACGACGATGAGGCAATCTCCACCTCGTTCACTACGGTACGAACGAAGCTGCTTCCGACGAGACGACCGAGACGGCCAAGAAGAGGAAGAAGCGGCCAGGAACAGTAGGAACAAAAAGTCAACAAGACAACCAATACAGTGGCTGGAAGCCCCAATTGACGAGCAGCGAAACTGCGAGAGCGACACCGAACCGTCGGACAGTGAAATCATAGCTGCAGCTCGATGGTGATGTCTCTGTTTATTTACTCATTACAATAGCTACTTCAGTTTGTCCTGCCACGAAGTCCTCGAGTCTTTCTCACCTCATCGTCTGAAGGCTTTTGCTTTCCCGCACGTCTGTCGCCGTCGTTGTCGGCGGCGAATTCGTCTCCATCGCCTTCAGTCTCAACCAAGGTGGGCGCAACGGTCGCTACAGCATCTTCGAATACGTCCACATTCTCGGTGCTTGCCTGTGAATCGATGAAGCCTGTTGCCATGTCACAGAGAGTTTGAATGCCCACAAAGGTTTCGCCTGTTCCGCAGAGTACGTTGTCGAGTGATGCGCTGTCATCACTGCTGAAGCCTGTCCCGACGAAGAGCTCGGCGAAGCCAAACCCATTGACTTCATTGGTCAAGAAGGACAAGGCTAAGAGAAAAATGAAAGTGAGATGCTTGGATACTGTCATTGTGTTTGGTTGGGAATTGCTCCGGTGGCGAGGAATTTGAATTCGATTTTTCGAGTTTGTGAGCCTGGGTAACGATGGTCTCTCGAGTCCTGCCCATTCACATGCGTCCGAGTTCCGTCATCCTTACGTCACCCTGGTGCGCCATTGAAACCTTCCCAACAGCATCCGTTCAGGGCCGTACTGGTACCGGTACCTGGTAGCTGTTCGTGGCATTGCCAACCTGACTGCCGTCAAAGTGCAAGCTCTAGCTATACAGTCACACACACCAGAGGTGCGCGAAGAATGCATGAGAAGGCTATTCTATTCGATTCATGCACTGGCGCTGCCGGGGACAATTTACATGACGAAGAACTACCGTACTACGGTATCGATCGGAATCTCGCCCCAAAATTGCCAGCCAGCGAAGCAGATCCTGGATTTTGCATCTGGGGGGAGTGTCCTTCCAAGCACGGCATGGGCTGCTGGATGAACAAGAAGGATATGCGCGTATCTTGCATAGTTTGGCCAGCCAGTGAGGTGCACGACCTCTTCGATCCACTTCGGAGAGACCATATCGTACCGTTCCGGTCTGGTCTGTCCAGGACAGCGGAGTTCCGATACGATGGTTTCACGACGGGAAACGATATATACGGGAGGACACATTCAAGTTTTTAACTTATGTTGCTTTTAGATGCAATATGCAAACGGTATCATCACATAACATGCATTGACATTCATTGGAGACGATGAAATAAACCACCACCTTAGCTTGCGGCATGCCCCTAGACCCATATCTCGTCAGTGATCTCTCCGGTCCTGACTCTCTCAGCCAATTCTCGGCGGCTGAACTGCTCTGTTTCCAAGTATTTCATCGTCTCTTTGTGCCTGAATTTCCTCCAGCGCTTGCCAATCCAATAGCAGACGTTGCCAACCTCTCCAACCGGGCCAACGATCGACAGCAGTGCCGGGAAGAAAGTCAAGGCGTAAAGGCATGACAAGATGATTGTAGCAAAGATGAAAGCCGCAAACTTGACAAAGAACAAGTTCGGGGCAAAGAACATGAAGAAGGTTGCCCCCAGGGTGGAGATTGCACCGCTCAAGACACTGACTGCCATCTCCTCCACCATCTTGATGACACGCCCGCGACGGTCCTTGGCTCGACTCTCGGTGTAGGCTTCGGAAAGATGCACCGTGTAGTCGATAGACAACCCAATGACGACGACATAGTTAACAGCCTCAAGCACTCCAAGTTTCCAGCCCATGAGCACCGTGAACGCAAAGACATCCACAACAATGAAAAAGATCGTGCCCACGGAAAAGAACGCCATGATGGGGTTACCTCCAACCAAAGACAAAATGATGAAACTTAGGATCATCGCCAATCCGATGGACCTGTACGTTTCTCCGATGAGAGTCTCGTTCAAAAAGTAGTAACTCCTGGAAGGAACCAATACAGAATGAAAATGATAAGTCGATTTGCATTGCAACGTCCTTGATGCACGCATGCACACGAGCCACTTACCAGACACCATTCGAAGTCTGCATTGTGGCCTTCATTTCCTGTGGAGCGAATTTCCTCATTTGAATGGACCATTCATCCCACCTTTCATAGAGCTCCAGGCCGTCTTCGTAGTTTTGTTCAAAGGACTGGTCAAGAGTTCCAGTAGAGGACATGGCTAACAAGACGAGTCCTTCCGCCCTGCGGCAGCTAAAGTCCTTTTGCAAGATTTTTTCAATGTGCTCGTCGTCGAGCTCGGGTTCCTCAGCGATGAAGATTTCCCTGAAGTACTTGTCGTAGTTTGTGAGTCGGGTGGTGGCATCCATATTGGGGTCGGTCAAGAACTTTTCCAAGAGGCCAGCATAATGTTCTGACGGTACAGGGTAGGGTTCACAGCTATTACCGTTGGTGTCCCAGGTGACACAGTTGGGCCGAGCGGCTGTTTCGTTATGGCAAGGCAATCCGCGCTCTGTCAGTCTGTTGCAACCTGCATCGGTCAATAGCCAATCCCTCATGCCCTGATGAGGACAGGAGACAAGGGAATAGTACCACTGGTCCGTGTACGGGACTCGGTCAGTCAAGATCTTCCTCTGGCGGGGTCCATACTTTCCCTCGATACCAAAGTCAGTCGACGCGCCGTGGAATTCCGTAACATTGCCCCAAAACATGTCTACGTTTGTTCGTTTGTGAGGTGAGAAAAGAGATGAGCAAGTATGAAGGAGCAAGCAAGCGAGTTCACGTACCTTGGCAAGTCTTCAATGCCCAAACCTGAGCTTCCGGAGTGGTGGGATTGTACGTGCTGCAATCAACGTAGTTGGCTCGACCATAATCGGTTGTGTTGGTATCACTTGTTCCGGTGCGGTCGATCGGTTCATCTGGGTTGATACCCGAAATCCTATGGAAGGACGGAAGGAATATCGAGAGTGAGCCAACCGCATGTCCCAGAACCATTTGTATGGTAGACGTTTTAGACAGGATGCACGGGACTTACCAGTAGCTGTTGATTGCTTGTGGGTTTCCAGAGCGGGCAAAGTACTTGAGAAGAATATCGGTGTACTGGGAATACACATTGTCGCTTGGCAACGTATTGGGAGCCGATTCGTCGGGTTCCTGCGATGAATGAATGAATGAATGAATGAATGAATGAATGAATGAGAGAGGTCGATAAAGTTAGAAACATCATGGATGCGCTGGCCTGGCAATAATAGATTGCTCGTCCTTTCTCGACTACCGTACTCACCAATCTGGCTGCAATAATCATGGCACCGACAAAGACCCCGATAAAAAGGAGGACAATGGGGAAGCGTAATTTGATGATGATCGGAGCCCAAGTGTCACGAAAGAATGTCACCAATCTGGATTCGGAGACATGATGCTCATCGGGTTGTTCTTCTTCCTGGGTGTTGGTGTCCTCCGCAGTCGTCGTCTCGTTGCTCGCTGTCTTGACTTCCTCCGATTCTTCTTCTTCTTCTTCTTCCTGATCACTCTTCTTGTCGGTGGCCGTCACGGTTGGATCCACTTCCTTACTGTCGTTGACCTTATTATTGTCTTGCTGATCTGTAGTTGTACTTTTCTGCGTCCCGGTGGATTGTTTGGCACTGCCCAATGCGGATGTAGTTTGAGCACTGGGATCGTAAACATCATCGGTCCACGGCCGTCCAAACTGACAGCAAAGGATACGCGACGGATGATCCCACCAATGGGTGCGAATGTGTTTGTAGTACATTCCAAATGCCGCGGGAAAGAACATGGTAATGGCACAAAAGTTGACGAGTACCAAAATGGCGGCAAAGAGTCCAAAACAGGAAACGGCCGGAAAGACACTCCCGACATTGGTGACAAAGGAAATAAAGGTAGTGGCGGATGTCGTAAACATGGCGCGACTGGCGACATTGAAGGTCTTTTGGAGTCGTTGATCGAATCGACGTTCGTCGGCTCGATGTTTCCATTGATCGCAAAAGACAAATAAATCGTCGACACCAATTCCCAAAATAATGTAGACGGCAATGAGATTGAGAACTCCGAGGTATGTGACTTGAAAGACGTAGCGGTAGAGGATAAGTCCAGGAATGAAGCACAACATAATTTGCATGACTCCAATGAATCCAATAAAGAAGGAATCTTGCATATATATCAAATAGATCAAAACAAAGAGCAGCGATGCCGGAAAGAGTAGAAAGGATTGAATGGCCAAATACCCCGTTTCGGCATCCATCATGGCCCCTTCCGTGTCCGAAAAGTAGACTTCGACACCATCGAACCCGGCGTTTTTGAGGAATTCGTCGTATTCTTCCCACAACCAAGTTCCCGCATCGGCATATTGATCGACGGTGGCTTGACTGGAACTGGAGTATCCATTGAGAGGCAATCCCATGTCGTAACTGGAAATGACCCCAATGGCTTTGGTACTGCCGAGTGTATAATCGGAACTGACAACTTGATGAAAGATATTGGGCAATACGATTTGTTGTCCAACGGTTTGCACGGCGGCGGGAAAGGGCGTGAGATCATAGGTTTCAGTGGTGTAATTGGACCAGAACTGGGCCACATCATCAATGTAATCTTGTGTGAGTGTGTATTCCTGTGGCACGACATCTTCGACGAGCAAATGATATCCGAGCCCGCTATCGGGATCAAAAAAGAGAGGATCCATGTGATTCAAGACGGAATTGATGCGGGCACAGGAAACATGGTTGAATTCGGTAGCATTGGCGGATGCTTCGACGGCGCTGACAATTTCGATTGGATCTCGTGTGGTAAAGGCGGTGTAATTGGAGGGCACCAAATAGCAGTATTGCGACAATTGTTGTCTTGCCAAAAATTCTTGTTCAATTTGATGTATTTGAGTCAACTTGTCAGAAGTGAGAATGTTGGAAGTGCGATCGGTGGAAATGTAGAGAATATTGATGCGTTGTTGGGTGGCGCGTTGACAGTTGGTTCCGGGAGGCGGTCCTTGCACGAGTGTTCCATTGCGCGTCAAAATAGTGGGTGCTTCGTGCACACACTTGGAAGATCCATCGGCCGTGCTCTTGACGGTAGCAACGTAGTCGGCATCCCGTTGCGTGGCTGCGTAGGCATCTTCGCGTTGTTCGTTGATTTCACTGCGATCGTAGAACGGAACTCCAATGTCAAAGGCAATGGTGCCAAAGGCCACACTTAACAGAATCAGAGCGCCAAACGACAGAATCCACATTCCACACATGATGGCACAGCATTGCCGCGGGTGACTGTGGATGCGACGAATGGGAAACCAAACTTCCACGTCTGCTCCGTCCTTGGCCATTAGAAACTCTTCATCTTCCAACAATAGGGCAATCGACTTGCGTTTCTTCTTTTGATTGCCATTGGCATTATTTGCGTCAGCCTGAGCGTCTGCCCGGGCCGCTTCTTCCAATTCCGTGGGAATCTCCAAGTCAAACGCCATCGAACCAACTTGGATATTCGCAGAATGGCGGCGTTCTTTCTTCTTCCCCTTACTATTAGTAGTATTAGTAGTAGTAGGACCCAAAACCTTCATCTTCTTGAGTCTCTTCGTTCCTTTTTAATAGCGTAGCTTCAGGTTGGTTTTAATTAATCACAAGGTAGCTTCAGGGAAGTTTTTCGTTTTTCTTTGTGGCTGTGAAAGAAAATTGTGATCGAGAAGAAGGGGTATCATAGAAGCGCGAAGCTTGTGCCACTTGTTTGCTCATTCATTCGTTGATACTTTAGATCCTGCTTTGCCCGGTATCTTTAGTGGACGCCTGCAGTCACACTCTGGCCGGATTCGCTGCAGCTTCATGATCCTTCGACGTAGTTGCGGGATCATACTTAGTGATAATAACTACGATTATATGAATTCAAACATAGATTTCTCAAAATAATGCGTGAACATCGCGGAAGATTGCAGTGGGATCGAGGATGAAGGCTGCATGGCGACTTGAACCTGCACTTTTGCATGCATGCACAGCAAGCGCTAAAACTAAAGCGTACGAGTAAGGGCAAAGAAAAACCAACGGAACCGGGCTCAGCAGCCAGCTGCTGTGGAGTGACATTCAAAAGCTGCTTGGATCGGACAAAGAGCTTCAGCTGAGCGATGATGTCTCCCTCATCAGCACAAGCAAAGAAGACTTAGTCCTCTATTCCGTCACAGCAAGTTCTTGGCGACGGTACATGTATGTTGCGAACATGACAGCAAGCTAGTCATTTCCTTCAGTCAGACTCACTTTCCTGAAGTCGATCTAGCCGTTCAAGTTGGCTACCGTATGTTGCGAAGATGACAGCAAGTGTTTCCGCTTAGTTCCTCCTCCAGTCAGACTCTCCTGAAGTCGATCTAGCTAGCTAGCTAAGCAGCCACAACATGTACTAGTACCAGTACCGGTACGTAGACTAAATCGTACCGGTACCAGGTGCATTCCAATCAATTTAGGTAAAAGAAATAAACCATCAAAGCTGTCAATTGTCACCTTCCACACGTTGTTCTGGCGGCAGCAAACAACCTGTAATTGCGAACGCTCAGCTCAACACCCACATTGCTTTGACTACGACAACAACAACAAGACCTTTTCAAAAGCACATTCACTATTTCCACAGAACAATACTCTAGTATTTTAATTATAAAATAAAAGCCAAGAAAGACGATAATGGAGCTTCATGCCAACTTTCACCCTGCGGATTCCGTGCATCAGGAGAACGTCGAGATTTCGGAAAATGCAATCTATTATTTGAGTTTCTTGGCATTCGGATCCATGATGCTGTCCATCTACGTGTTCCTTCAAGTTGCCAAAGAAGAAAAAGAAAGACAAAAGAATCAATAGAAGAAGCTACAGTGCTACTGGTACCTACTGCTGGCTAGGATACCATGAGAGACAAACTTGCTTCGTTACAAGAAAAAGGAGGGCAAGGTCCCTTGGAAGCAATAAGCCAGGATAAGCTTTCATTCACCCCGTTCTGACCATGTGCACCTGTTGAAAGAGCAGTCGCTTCCGTGTCTCAAAGTGACATGGGGTATTTAGGATTTATTACAGTCGTACAATGACTCGACTCGACTCTTGTTGTGTTCTTCGTTCTGTATTAATACTATGTTTGTGGTACCGATACCACCGGTACTGTACGGCATCGTACAACACCGATACCGGTCGGTACAACCCGTACCCATCGTCCTCACAATTCCAACCAAAAAGAGCTTCGAGGGGAAATTACAATGATGTAGTACATGCACCTTTCCTTTGGCCAAGAGCAGACTAGTCATAGTCTTGAACGAAGATAACAACGATCCAAGCAATACTAATCTTGACTGTGAGTGCAACCATCATGAACCCGCAAAACACAGAGAGGATGCTACCATGACGATTTCGGAAGCAATCGTCAACAGGCACTTGGCTTTGAAGCGCGCCGTGTTGGACAGAAATGACAAAGACTTGGAGGGTGTTTGTTGTGTTGAATGACAGTGCTACCGGTAGTATGTGCAGTCAACCCACCATTGCCACCATTCGCAATGGATTCTTTGCCTTGGCAGATTTGGGAGATGTCGCTTCTTCCAATTTGTTTTAGTGTCATAGCACGGCGTCGGCTCTTTGCAGAAGTGCTGGGATGTTACCCGTTCAAATGGAAACACTTTTTGACTTACAACAACACCGACTTGGTCGCCAGCATTCTATATTAAACTAACACTGCTTAAACATGCAACTCATGACACACAACATGAGAATCAATGTTCAGTTGGGATGTAAGAGGTCGAGAATGACAATGACGAACGCCTGCAACGACCACCACCACTCGATTACGAGGGTCGACGAAGGTGAATCTTCACAGAGGATCTCAATGCAACCAAACATGATTGCAACGGAAGTACTTGCTTTGGCACGATCTACCACCGGTGCCAAGTGTGCCTTTCTCTCAGGTCTCGGATGCAACCAATCTGTGGTCTCGGATGCAAGCGGCCAAACCTGTCATTGGCACTGTCCCCCCAGCGACTTCACAACGCACACACAAGCCTTTCCCAATTCAGTTGGCGAGCTACGGGCTGTGCTGCTGCACCTGGTTGCCCATGTGCAACCAAGATTGGAGGCAGTGAGTTATACTTGGACAAGTGGCTGGAGGATGCCAGCGATCTTATAGGCACTCACCGAAACTGGAAATAAGGAACGGTGGAAAAGTACAAAGTACATGCCTATACATGCCTGTAAAGCTGCAACTTTCGGAAAGAAAACTAAAACTGGACCACATGATAGAGGAAAGGGCAACCTTCTGATAGTTTCGGTGAAGAAGAAGTCTCTCGCCAATGCACACACACAGGAACAAAGACTATCGGTGCAATCGGAGATAGGTTCTTCATGAGGTGGCGCTCAGGCAACACTTCAAGTCCTAGCAACTCTTGAAGCAAAGAAACGAGGATATAGAAGTAAAGAAACGAGGATATAGAGCTGGATGCAGAACATTGCCAGGACCTGTACCAGGTCAGTTGCTACGTTGCTACTATTGCTCGTACGTGCTTTTCAACGATGTGACTTGTAGGAAAGTTTCTATGGCTGGTTGAGATGATGCAGATGATGCTATACATGTACTCCAGTATGAGAATGGGCTCAAGGGCCATCAATATCATGAAGTATTGATTGATAAAAGATGCAACGGGCTTTCTATATCCTTGGTTGTCTCGCATTACATCAAGGCATGATTGGGCACCTCGGACCTTCCCAGTGTACTGTTTTGGGGGCTATAGCATCTTCATCGTCACATCGATCGAGCCCAACTGCAATATCCCATATTTTCTTTATGACCACACAGCCATACCACAGCGCCCCGTTTCATCGCCGCCCGACCGCCATTTTCAATGGAAACTTTGGACGCGTCTTGACAATGAGGTGGCAATAGTAAACGTGCACTGGTTAGAAACCTAAGCAAACGTGGCTTTAGCTCTGATGCATGAACTACATCGGAATCAGAATCATACTTCATGTACAACACTTGGGAATTTGCTTGGAAAAGTTTTGGTTTGGGACGCTAATTTTGCGTCTAGCTAGCTAGCAGCCAGGCCAAGGTTTGGGCCATGGGCTGTCTTGGCTGGTTGATGGTTCAGGTCTTGGAGTACTAGCTAGTAGCAGAGTCGATATCATTCGATTCCCCGGGTGACTGGGTGCTGCTATAGCTACTTGCCGAATGTTGCCACAGCGGTACTAGCTAGCTAGTGCGACCAGGTCGTGAAGACACTTCCCTCGCTGCTTCGACCCGCCGACTGCCAATAGCGCAGCGCTAGAGAGGCGCTTGGGATCTTGGGATAGATACATGTAGACAGAAACGGTAGAAGGTAGAGGGAGAGACAGTACTAGTAGATAGATTGGCTGGCACTCCAGTAGCTCTTTAGAGCTCCCGGCTCCCGGCATGGTTGTGTCGCCCCCTTGCAACATCCGGGTAGCTGTTACCGTAGCGGTACAGTACTAGTACCGGTACAATATTAGTTAGAGAAGCAGTCGACTCAGGTAGAGTCATCCCTATATATAAGCATCCAAATGCAGTCATAGAAAGTATAAATCTGATTGCCCGCAGGTTCCCCACGATCAATGGGAGCAGTCTTGTGTGTCTATTGGATTATTGATTGAAGTTACTTCTATTCTTTGCCATTCACCTGTACTCTTGGAGTATCAATAATGCTCTTTTACACTATTCTTCCATGAGAGCTCCATGAGTCATGACTAGCTCATGTCCTTATTTCCTTTGATCGATGGTCAACTTTTACGAGATAACAATCACAAAAGGAAGATGTGGAAACTGCGTCGGTTATTTCTGTAGTTTGGCAAACGTTGCAAACGTAATAAGAGACGTGGCAAGTCTCGAAGCATTTGGCTGGATTTGCGACATCTACAGTACTTGGACTGAAGTATTCTATAATTCTATGGCTTTAAAGGTCGTTTTCCCTTGGTTTTCTGAAGTCGGGGAAGTTTGGCGAGTAGGTCATAGTTCACGATGTCTCAACTTCTGGAGTTTTGTAGAGTTTGATGCCAGTGCCAATGCCACACTGTTTTCACTGGTGTTTGCATCCAACTGACTTGTTTTCGCTCCTCTGCTTCGCTCCTTCGAAAGCTCACAATTTTGAGTTTCCTGAACTTTGAACAACAGTAACTGAACAAAAACCAACTTCCCCCATCTCGCCCCAATCTCTCATCAACTCTTTTGAACTGAAACGATGTGCCCACAGCAACAGATCAAGTCCAAGTCCAATGCTGCCTTTGGCAATGACGTGAGTGAGTTGTCATTGTCTAATACCAGTCGCCGCCAAAGCCGTCGCAGCAGCCCGGGTATCCTGAAGCGCAGTTCCACAATGGATGAAAGTACCCTTTCCAACACGCTTCGTCGCAGCACTGGCAGTATGGGTTCTACGCGACGCATGCCCGTTTCGTTTGACATTGTCGAGATTCACGAACATGCCATGATTCACGACAAGAGTCGTGCGGGTCCCGCCTTGACGATTGATTGGGCGCCCATGAACACGGAGGTAACGACGGTGCAAGAGTTTGACTGCAACAAGTGCCACAAGAAAAACGTGCGAGCCTACAATCCTGCCGAACGAGCTTCCATTCTCATGAAGGCAGGATACAAGCTAGAAGATCTCTGCTTTCACGAACTGGCTGAAGACATCAAGAAGGAAGTCCAAAAGGCAAACAGAAGAAACAAGACCCCAAAGAGACACATGTCCTCTCCCAGCAGCATTAGTACTTCTACAACAAGTACTAGCAACACCAAGAACAAGACCATGTACTCCATGGTCAAAAAGGCCGCCAAAAAGCTAGTGGTCAACCCAAGCCATCCCAGCATGCCTTTGAATTCGTGTCGATGCTAAAGCATGTTCTGGCCTGACCTGACCTGAACTGACCTGTCCTCAAGTTACAACTTCCTGCTTCCCAAATTTATCTTCCTATATACATGTATGGTACCTATCTAGCTAGCTGTCAAGCCAACTGCAGCCCTTCATTCTATCAATGAGCAATTACATCATACTCATGCACACATTATTTTAAAATAGCACAAACTCATTTATATACACATACATCATCAGAAACACCATTCCTCAACGGCAGTAGCAACTCGTCTAGTGCAGCCCCAATTCTAGCTAGCTGGCTAGCTACTAGTAGATACTTCCGCTTGCATGCTATGCACTGCGCCGCGTTTCGGTGACCCTACAGAACAAAGGCAGATTGGTGTTTTCGTTGCATGATTAATCTAATCGCATGGGTTGAATGATTCGATTCAATCATTGAATCGAATCGAATGATGCGATTGATTCGATTCGACTGTGATTCGATTCAATCATAGCCTTAATTAAAACCTTCTTCGCACACAATGGTCTAAGCTTAGCCCTAAACTATAGGTATGTTAAGCCGGCATAGTGGTTGAAAGTTGGGTGGCTTTTGATTATGCTGTGAAGGCGTGATACTGCAGAGGCAACGTTTCTCAGACAAGCCCTGATCGCATTGATATCGGGGCAGTAACTTCTGCCGCAATCGTATCATACCAGTAGCAGCAATCAACCACTAGCCAAAATCCTACTCAGGCAATACCAGGAGCCTTGCAAACCAAGACATGATGTGCCCCCCGTATTCGAGTTCAGGAGCTGCGGAGTGAAGCAAAAGGAAAAGTTTGCCTTACACTAGGTTTCCCGTTCTTCTACGTACCGTACCGACGCTACAATGTCATGTACATGAGTTGTCACAGTCAATGAATTGGGAGTATTGCGACAGTCGAAGGATACTACATACATGTACTACAACATCATTTTGTTCGTTCAAACAAGCAAAGTGCCCTCCCTGTTCGCTTTCAAGACCCCCTTCGGTGGTGAAACCACCTCTGTTAGTCAAACGAAGGCTTCCCCAACTTGAATAAACACACCGTAGACATCACTCTTTAAACCATCAATCTTGTGTGAATGTTGGGTGGCGTCGCAAAGCTCAAAAGCTTCTTGAAGGCGAATAGTGCCAGAAACTATACCAGAGCAGATCATTATCAACTTCCTACTGCTGCCTGTCAGACGCCAAGTGCCAAGGAAGTACAACAACATGTAGACCCTTCGACCATCACCTTTGTTCCCCCCTCTTTTTGACCGGCAGTCACACAAGCTGCCTGGTATGTAGCGGTACGGTAAGTGTTCTGCGTGTAGGTGTCTAGCTAGCTAGTAGTCTAGTGTACATGTACGGGTACGTACGTACCACTGATAGCTGATAGCTGAGCAGTTTGCACTCACTGGTTCTATTGACACCTTCAACGAACTCCATTGTGGCATTGCTTCAGTGTCTTGCTTCAAGCTGCGAATACAATCCAGGCACAAGGTGACTAACGCAATGACCGCAATTCTGTTCTTGTTCACCTACTAAGTCTTCGTCCCTGGTCACACCGGTGGTGTAGATGTGTAGATAGTAGATAGCCAGTGCAGAAGTTCATTAAATTTTGAAGCCTTCTTCCTCTCACAAATCTAAACACGAGCCAACGTGCAAAGCAAAGAATCAGGCAACAGAAATCAAAAATGTGCCAAGTAAAGAACAACCAAACCCAAGGTATAGTCAACCAACTTGCCTCCAGCGCCACCATGAAGAAGCCCCATAGCATCCTCAAGATCCAGACCCAAGCAGAATCTCTTTACTCATCTGCAGTCCAAGATGAGAAACCTCCCACCTCCAAGTGCCAGTGCAATGTTTCCTTTGACATCACAGAGATTCGTGTGTACCCTCAAATGTTAGACACAAGTTGTGAAGGCGCCGCTCTGACAATTGGCTGGGAGCCTGTCTCCACAGAAGTAACAACGGTGCAAGAGTATTACTTGGAACACTCTTCCAACCTGCGATCGAGTGATGGAAAGCTACGTGCCATGAAGCCTGAACACCGCATCAGTATTCTCATCAATGCTGGTTATAGCAGGGATGAGTTGTATCACCACATGGTCTCTTTCTCACTCATGGAAGAAGAAGCAAAGCTTCAGTCAAAGACAATATATAGCAAGCTTAGAAAGGCTGCTCTGAAATTCACTGGTGTCGGCGTTGCCCAGAAACTCAGCACAGGTGTCAACGCTGCCGCCTAACTTCAAAGAAGCTGACGCCTAAGCTTCCAATATGCTCCACTCCTTCCATCGCTATCACGCGTAGAATGTACAATAGCTAAGCCATAGACTTCCATTTCCACTCATTGCTTTCTGAAGCCTTCTAGCCAGTGAACGAGGGGAGAGACTCAGGGCACATCATGCTGAAACCTGTAGGGTGCAGAAACTTGCTTCGCTGCTCTGCCCGTGCTTTTGGGATCCTCTGATGTTGACTGTCCTGGGCTCGTTCTGCCCGATGCAAAAGGTAGTGGCTTCCATGCACTGGCTGCAACTTCTTCGAACCTTGCTAGTACGGGTCAACTGCCAACTTTAGAGAAAGTGCTCAGCTGGCCTCGAGATGCATGCAGGTCCATGTCAGCTACCCCAGCGAACCACCCTCGATGTAGGTTTGCCGCTTTGTGAATATTAGCACTATGACTTCACGAGAGAGACTCCCAAGACACATCCACACTTCGTAGCTACTTGTACTACAACGCTTCAGGTATCGTTGATCGTTGGGTGACTTCTGTTGAAGCGGCTGGGCGGTTTGGCCTGATCTTCATTGTGGTGCTGTTGTTATTAAGTACTAAGTCTTTCTTGTGGTTCCACACAGTACAGGCACCACCGCAGCCATGTCGGCAGATGGCAATGAACAAGCCCATTCTGACACACCTTCCTGTACAATTGTCACGTACAACAACAGAAATGGATGTAATGGTTGCCTCGAAGCTGCCTTACTGGCTATGGAGCAACATGCCCAGGCTGCCCTGTTGAAGGTTGTGCGGCTCCAAGTCCTGGCAGCACATGCGTGAACATTTATTTTCTGAGGCGACATCCGAGGAGGGGCCCGAGGCTCTCCCACGTTGCCCGAGGTGCGACATGAGTGGTCTCAAAATCACCCATATCGCCACCCACAGGCGGGCCTACTCCAGGTCCCAGTTGGGGCCAACCTGGGGTCCAACCACCTGACTACCACTGGTCCCACCTCAACTCAGACACCTCACCTCTGCCCAGTGCAGAGAAGATTCTGAGCTGAAACGACAATGGCTTCTGGAACAGACTGAAGGCAGGGCCCGCGAAGTTGTCTTCACGGTCAATGCATGGCGTTCCAATTTCTCTTTCAGTGACCCAATTTAGAAATCTTGGTGGGGAACTCACTGCTTCGCCCAGCGACCTCTCGGCACGGTACACGAATTTGAAAAAGGCCCGCCAGCAGTGGGCTCACATCTCTTGGGTTCTGGCTCGAGAAAGTGCAAAGCCCAGGGTTTCCGGCATGTTTTACAAGGCTGTGGCCCAGACAGTGCTGTTGTATGGGTCTGAGACATGGACCCTCACTTCCACCATGCTTCACATATTCTAATCTTGCTGGGAGGTTTGGGGAGCTATGCTGCGGCATGCCCGAACCCCTCACAGCACCGGTGGAGATTAACAAGCAAACAAAATTGGAAGGCTTTCATCACAAGGTGGCCCACCGAATTATTAAGAGCAAAATGCTAAAGCACATTGGAGGTGCGTATTTGACATTACCCCACCAGTTGATGATGCCCCGAGAACAGCCATGCAGCCTGCATCCCATGAAGACTTATCACAACAGGCAAAGCAACAGGTTGGCTGACTATGTCACCACTCGCCCAATCTTGGATCTGTGTGGGCAAGTCCCAAGTAAGTTTGTAAGGTACTCCACACCAGTGACGCTGGCTTTGGGACCGCGCTGATTGTATTGAGGTGTAGGTATTCTTAGTAGTTTCGTAGTGTTGTGTCCATGTGCAGATTCTCCAGAGCCTCTGCCTTGGATTGGGATCCCATGTTAGGAATGCTCTGCAGAACCGGCAATGACCCTTTTAATTAAGACACAAACACACACACCTGCAGTTTGCTTCAGGAGCATTGACGTTTTCCCTTGTTGTGTTAGTCACTGCATCCATGTCACCCCCGACCACACATTTTCTGCCCAAATTGCTTGTTGATATCTCTGGGTATCTCGTCTCATGCCGCAGGCAAGGAAAGGCAAGGCAAGGCAAGGCAGGACGAGGTAATTCGAGACAGGGGTAGTGACTCTCTGGAGGGCTGCCAGCCTGTGGTGGTAAAACAGGCCGCAAACGAGTGGAATGATTTTGAAGCAGCAAGCAACAAGCAACACCTCACTGATTTCTGGTCAGTGGCTCGTTGCTAAAGATGCATCAATCAATCTGATGTGGCGTCAGCGAGCTACAGTATGCATACTTCCATTGAGGAGCCATGAAAGACGATTTCAACAGATCTTGCCGCCGAGGAAACACTGCCATTCGGAACCATTAAATTTATTGATGCTTGCTACTGTTGGCTCTCACTCGATACATGTAGTGTCATGCTTTTGGCTCGCCTGTGTTTAAATCCTTTCGAATCACAAAACTAGACTACTGCAACCGGAATCTTAGCTACTCGTAAATCTATCTACTCAGTAGTTAGCATACAGTATGCATAGTCGGAAATAAGAGCTCAAACAAAAATGAGATACCATTGTTACACTGCTACTGGAGATTGCGAATGCCTGTATGTGATCATCTGGTACGGCACATGATAGTTAGATCTAGCTCCTTTCAACTTGAGCTGGCCATATCTGCTGGAGCTGGATGGATCCGAGCGGAAAGAATCTTGGAAAAAACACGCGGTATTGACGAATGCGCTGAAGAAAGCACACTGCTCCGTGAAGACCGCCTTCGGCCCCACAGTGTCCATTGGTGTACTGTGAGCTACTGTGCATTCCAAACTGAAAAGAGTCACTGACCACAAAGGAACGTTCTGACAAAACCACTGATGTTGTCAAGATTGTTTGGATGCAGTAATACAAACCATTCTTCGATTTCAGGGTGTATTGCTTGGATTGAGTTGCCACCAAAGTTACTGATTCCCACTCAAAAAGTAGTATCTGCATGGGTCATTTGAAGAATGTTAGTTGCTACTTTTCAGAATTAACAAAGACTTTTACATAAATCTTGGGTTTGTGCCTTGATGACTGATGATCTGCAAGGATTGATTTGCTTTTGGGTTGCCTTCTTGTTGGCTGAATTGAAGAAGACGTGCTGACAGTTGACAGGCAGTCGACAGTACCGGTACAAGTTCATGAAAAAGATTTGGCTATAAGATTCAGTACCCCATAGAATCCTGCTAGCTCTCAATGGGTTCATAGCATTCATGCGACATCGCGACATTGTACTCAAAACTTGTCTTTCTGGGTCACTTTCTTATCCAGGTGGTTTGGCGTCAGTCTGATTCATCATGCTGTAATAACTGTACCAATGGTGGTTTTGGGTCGTTTTGATTTTCGGTGGTGAGACCGGTGAGACCGGTGAGATCGGTGAGATCGGTGAGATCGGCTGCAACCAAGCACAGGATCTTGCCGTTCTTGTGAAGGGCTAAAGTTTTTATCATCTCCTTCTCTCACAATTTTAGAAAGCTGCAACCTGCAAACAGACCATTCAACACCATCCCACCCAACAAGATGTGCCAAGTGAACAAAAGCCACCGCAATGGAGCCATGGTCCAGCTGAAGCCACGCGGCATCCTCAAGGTCCCGACCCAAGCCGAGTCTCTCTTCTCGTCTGCCGTCCAAGAGGAGAAACCTCTTACCAAGCGCCAAAGCAACGTAACTTTTGATATCACTGAGATTCGAGTCTACCCTCTACTGTTGGACACAAGTTGCGGAGGCCCCGCTCTGACCATTGGATGGAAGCCAGTCTCAGGTGATGTTATGACCGTGCAAGAGTATTACTTGGAAAATTCTACAAACATGCGACGAAGCAACAAGCTTCGAGGCATCAAACCCGAAGATCGCATCAGTATGCTCCTCAATGCCGGATACGATAAGGAGGAACTGTATAACCACGTTCTCACTTTCAAACTCAAGGAAGAGCAAGAAAGGCAACAGTCCAAGACAATCTATCGCAAGCTGCGAAAGGCAGCCCTGAAAATCACTGCACTAAAACTCACTGGTCTCAATGCTGCTGCATAAGCATTCAAAGTTGACTGTCATCAAAAAGTGGTGCTTCCTCCAGACTTCTCCTCTTTCCCTTCCAACAAGTAGATTTTTATGTACACTAATAAAATTTTGAGCAATAGACTTTCATATTACTTGATTCGCTTCACACAAGAAACTATCGGATACTCCTAGCTAGCAGACAGGGCACACTAACATGGTGCCTATAGCTTCAGATATCCAAAAGACCCTGCTCAAATACGTACCGTACGGCAATAACATTATGCGGCTGTGGCCAGTCATATCAATGAAAGGAAATGTGGTACCGTAGGGCCGCGCCGTAGCGATAGCACCCTTTGGTGGACAGATGCTTTCGAGCGGGCTCCTGCAAGACAGTTTCAAACAGGGCGTTCAGGGAGGAAGGCACTTTTTCTTAACCCAGTAATTCAAAGTATTAAACATATTCACCTCAACGTTCTGAATTCAATAATCTTTCTTCCTGTTGCACCAGTAGTATGGCAGCCACAAGTACATGTAGCTGTGTAGCTGATTGAGATGGCGCTGGGCCGCTGGACTAATAAAGGCTCAGAAGCCAGAAGGGAGACAGCTGCACGGTTACCGGTATCAGATGCTCAGAGGACTCAAGTACTGTGTTTTGGTACCCTTTCAGTTCATTTCACCCTTTGATTGAGTGCATAGACTTCAGCTGACAGGGGGCATTGCTACATGTAGCTACTAGCTACACAATGCCGGCTGCAGGCTACTAGAGGGTATCCTCCTGATCCAATCACTCCAACTTGACCACCATTGAGTTGCCAGTCTCATCACTCATCCCACATCTCATCACAGCCTTTTCACCTTCGCTCCCCTTGCATTCAGTACAGCTGTACCGGTAGCTGCCGGAAAACATCCTTACCCTTCCAAGAAAGAAGAGCTACATTTAACTACCGGAGCCAAGCCAGTGCCAGAAACCCCGTGTAGCTCGCTATCATAGGAAGACTTACTTTGCCAACGAAGCAGCGGCTAAAGTGGCTCGCTAGCAATGCAGCAATCCACAGCTATCCACTTGCGGTACCGGTACCGGTATCAGTATCAAAGAAGATCTTGAATTAACACGTGTTAAGATGGATAGCATTGTTTCAACACCCAGGTTGACGACTTCGCAGCAGCAGCTGCGACACGACGCGACGAGACGACCCTTTGATGGAGCACAGGGACTTTACTCAGTTGCACTCAGCGCACGGCATTGTATTATTCCTCGCTACCCAACTCAGCTTGGTACGTACTCGTAGTCTAGATTGTATTAATTAATAGATTGGCTCCCATTTCTCACAACTTCAATTGTCCTGTAAATCATTCTTTTCATGGTAGTAACGAAAACCAGGGAAAGTTTCTTTAATCGTCACCACTGTTGCGTGTTGTGTTGTTGAGTTCACGACTACTTAAAGACTTTGGGTGCAGTGTCTGTCATCAGTGCTGGTTGGCTTCTTGCTCACAATGTCATGACATTGTTCTCCGCAGCATTGCAAGATGGCTGGCTGGTTTGCCAGCTTAGAGAATGGTGCTTTCGGATGCTCGGATCTGCTGATCTCGATATTCCCCATAACTCTCTCCTTGCAGCATCAGTCGAAGCAATGAACCAGGAAGACGACTTTTGGAATCTCTCACTATTATTAATAGCTTCTACAGTAGCTTCTTAGTTACTTAGTTTATGACTTTCAGACACAAACTGGTAGACTGTCGTACCACGTTCAAGGTACCGGTACCAGGCACATGTCCCTGAGGCACCACGACATTCTGCTGATCATCGATGTAATTTTTTTTGTTTGGGGTGCAGGAGGCTGGGGATTTGGTTGAGATGTTGAGATGATGTTCTTTTTTCAGAGCTACACTGTAATATCTGTGTTATATAATCTCATGATACCTTTCCACTAAATACGTGTTGTTGCATGCATTGGTAGTCGATAATCATTTGCACTTTGCTTCAAGTTGTCCTTAGAGAACTCCGAGCTCCGAGTTCCCCTGTTAGTACCGGTTTCCTTACAGCTCTTCAAGTACGAATACTGGGGACTGGTCGCTATTTCCTTCATGCGACAACGCGACACAAAGAATTTGTCTCCAATGACGCGATTAGCACTCTTGCGGAAGCTCCTCACAATTTTCAATTTCCAAGCCCGGAAGCAAGTGAGCAACAGAAACAACTCAAAAGATGTGCCAAGAAAAAAACAATACTCTCAACAGAGCCATCCAAATGGACTCCACCACCATGAGGAAGACAAATGGTATCCTGAAGATCCAGACCCAAGAAGATTCCCTTGCTGCCACAAGTCCTGTGAGAAAGCAATCAAGGCACGTTTCCTTTGGCGATACCCAGATTCACACCTTCCCCCGAATATTGGACACAATCCGTGAAGGCCCTGCTCTGACCATTGGATGGGAGCCAGTCTCATCAAAAGTTCTGACCTTTCAAGAATTCTATTTGGTATATCGAAGCATCAATGGCAAGCCTCGGCCATTAATTGCGGATGACCGCATTGTCATTCTCCTTGATGCTGGGTGCGAGAAGGAGGAACTTTTGCAGCACTTTCTACCTGCATCAGTCAAGGAACAGCAACAGCAACAGCAACAGCAACAGCAGCAAGAGCAATCCAAGCCGCCACCGTCCAAGACTATGTATGGAAAAGTTCGAAAGGCAGCCCTGAAACTGACGGGTATCAAAAATGTCAAAGTCTCGCGTAACTAACTTTCAGTGCCTCCAAAGAATGCAGCCTCCAGAATCATCTTCCATCCATCCATCCATCCATCCATGCTTCCCTATGCTACACACTATGTACACCTTGTGCTTGAATAATATACTAGCTAGACTTTCATTTTCAATTTTCTTTGCTCCTCCTTGGAGCTCCTCGGTTACATTACCGGCAGCCAGCGTTGCTCAGCCTCAAGTTGCCTCTGGCAATTCGTTGTACATGGTGGTTAGTAAACCATGCTGAAGCGTTACCGGTAGCTCAGTTGGATGCAAGTCGTTGAAGGATCCCCAAGGGGGTCCCTAAATGGTAACTTACTCCCAGCCAGCACTGAGATGCAGATGGATGAGCCAAGCGAGCGCGAAAAAGGAATTGTCTTTGGGATTCGATTCCATCGAATGTTCCAAACTCCGAAGATCGATCATTCACGCTTTCACGGAAGGGACCTCCTGGACAAAACCATACGTACTATAGCCATATCCTGTCCCTGAGCCACTGTCGAGGTTCCTGTTGGGTGGCTAGCTAGCTGAAACTCTTTTATCGGTGCCGCCTGTCATTGCTCTGAGTATTGGTGCATCAGGCAGAGCCTCTGCAACCTGATGTTGCTCTCAAGCTTTCCATTCCATGTCAATAGCATTCAGGGTGACCTCTGGTGTCACCAAAATGTATGTCCTCAAGCTGCGTACGGCTTCATTTGATTGATTCGATTCACGCCCTGCCTCCAATCCACCTGTGTACTGGCTGCCTCGTACAAAACGGTAGAAGGATGCATATTATTAAGTGTTGATGGCAGTTATCTAGGCAGCCCAGCTGTCAAATACTTCGAGTAGCCAGCCAGCTGGAGAAAGTTTGGGAGGGATGCTCCAGGGACAATACTGCTGCGGTTCGGCTGCCGTAGCTGAGAGAGTCGAACGAAACGTGCAAGCGTTGTCGTTGGATTGCTTCCTTGTCCTTTGGAAGCTGTAGTTGATCCTTGACGTTGTGTAGCTAGCTAATGGTACTCCTAGAGTGTGGCGAGCTAGTAGCTCTGGCTAGACTTGTACCCGAGCAAGTACCAACTCTTTGTTTTCGCCTCGGTAACGACACTATCTTGAAAAACCCTCTTGGCCGCCGCATTCCCACAATTCATTTATTTTGAGTCGAGTCGAGTGACAGTCGGTTGGCACCACTGTACCTAATAATTGAATCGAATCTGATGATGTACATGTAAGCAACAACGGACAAGTCTACTGGCCACCTGCGTGGCTGGATATTTGGCTACTGAAGTCGAACGGCCAACGCTGAGCTCAGAGCAACCAATATTCGAATCTGAAAGCTGGAATCCCATTAGTCCCAGCTTGTACCGGTACCGTATCACTGCGGCTTTTAGTACTTCCGCCGCAGTGCCTAGACTATTAATAGCTAGAATTGTCAGAGTGAGAGAGCAGTGAGAATCAGACAGTCAGACCTCAAGGGCTCCTCAGGTACGTTCTGAAAATAAATTCCCACTGGGAAATCAGAAAAAAGCGCCATGGTCAACACAACCATGACCAAAAAAGGCACTACAAGACCACACAAAGCCTCAATAAGCCAAATAGACAGTGACATTGACCAAACCAATACCAATTATTATGTTATCGTTCTTCTACAGATGCCACTCCTTGTTGTTGATGTTCTGCCTCTTGCTTGTTGTCGTGCCTCTTCCTTGTTGCCATTGCTGTTGTTGTGTTGTCGCCTTAGCGCCCAGATGGATTCAACCAGTTGCCACCACGCTTACGGTAGCTCTGGTCACTTTCCTCCTCCGTTTCCGAAGCGGTGTCGTCATCAGACGCATCAGACGCATAGTTGTCACCATAGCCATCGTTGTAGCCGTCATCTTCCTGAGTCACCTCTGCTGGCCCTTCTTCCTCTACATCGTCTTCATCATACGACTGCATCTTGGATGGCGGCTCATACTCATTCTCGCGTTCTTCTTGGGCTCTGTGGCGCTTGGGCGTTCCAGTGCGAGGTGGAGCCGGCTCTTGCTCCTCTTCAGAAGCATCTTCAACAGTTACACCACCATAGGGCTTGCCATTGTAGTAGCGGCCAGAGTTCGCCTCTTCAAAAGAAGTCTTCGGGAGGTCATCTATCTCCATCTCTGTCTGATGGTTTTCTTCACGGACAGAAGGTTGCTCCTTGTAAGGCCTTCCAGGTCGAGGTGGTGTTGGACGCTGCCTGGCGGCGGGCTTGGAAGCAGCCGCTGCAGCTGCTGGAGCCGGCTCGTAGTTGCGATCATCCTTGGCCTTTCCGCGAGTTGGAGTGTGGCGAGGCGGAGTGTAGGCTTTCGGGGGTGGCTTGGGTGAGCTCTGCTGCTTGTAGTTGCGGTGTGGTGGAGTCCTCGATGCAGAGGCAAATGGCCTGCTGCTGGTTGTAGCTGGTGCTCTGCTAGGTGTGTGGTGCGGGCGCGGCTGTTGGCGGGGTTGTTGGCGCGGTGGCTGGTAGCGCGGCTGCGCTGCTGGTTGATAGACATTCCTGCCGCGACGACCACGGCTTCTTTCCACGTCAGCAAGAGACATTTCTTCCAAAGTGTAGTTATCCAAGTCGTCGTATCGTTCATCAACGTCTCCTTGGTCTACCTCATAGGCGGTGACAAAGACACAAGCAGCTCGAAAGTGTCCATTTTTTCCAGCAATAGGAGGAGTCTGCCAACGCAAGTGGATTTCCTCAGGTTTCGCTGGGAGGAAGCTTGGCAATGCCCGGAAGAAGCCTTCAGTCTGAAAGCCAAGATCGATTGAGTGCTCCTGCCATCCCTCAGGCTGTGTCCGCAAGAACTCATCCAGCTGCCTGCAGCCGTCAGGATCACTGACGCTGTGTCTGGCCATGATAAAGTCGGCCGTGCGGAGCTCCTTTGGAATCCTCCAGCGGACCACAAATTGAGTTCCACATCTCTGGTGCCTCTGGATCACTCTGCAATCCTCCGGTCTCATGCCAGAGACAAGATAGCACGTGAGAGTAGCGCGCTTGCGGCTAACATGATAATCTTGGGTGATGTCATCGGAAACGAAGATGCGAAGAATCATGGTTGGAGCAAAGAATTTGTTGCAAGTGACAAGGCCAGATGATGCAAGGACCTCTGGGCCAGCGTGGACTCCACAAGCTACCTCTGGGATGTCGACCGGCGTCGCCGGAGGGTCATCGCCACCACCACCACCACGGACCGGAGTAGTCCGAGTCTGCTTCTTGGGTGCGGCCTTTTTCTTGGCTGTCTTCTTCTTTGTAGCTGCCATCTCTGAATCGTATCCTGGAAGGCCTTCTGCTCGTTGACCAGCTTGGTTCAGGATGCCAACTTTCTGCGCAAACGTGCTGGTCAATTCTGGCAATAGAGAGGTTAGAATTCGACAACAAGCATGCAAGAAAAATTCAACAATCAACTCACTGTTCCCAGTTTTCAGATAACAATCCAGCTTCTGTGCGGTTGTTTGGTAGTTGCGTCGAAGATTCCGTCGGAGATATTTCTTGCTCTGAATCCACTGGTACACTTTGGGGTCTTCGGTCACAGCAGTGCGAAAGTTGTTGGGGTCAACAACGTTTGGTTTCAACAATAGTCTTGCCAAGTAGACAGCGTCTTTTCCTTCCGGTTTCCAACCAAGAGGTTCCGCGTACTCTGTTGGGTCACCGTCTCCGTCGTCGTCGTCGTCGTCGTCGTCGTCCAAGACACCGTCTTCGTCTTCGACAACTTCCTCGAAGCTATCGTCTGTATTGAGGTGGTCGCTCTCGTCGTCCATTATGATCTAGTTTTGTTGTGTCGACTGCCGACAGCATGCACACATGTGATTTGAACGCCTCCGAATCAACCGCCAAATCGGCGTCGTCCCCACAACCGGCCTACTCAGATTTTCACTTGTAATCTCTATCAAGCGGCTTATGTTCATATCAGACAACTAGACTTAGATAAACTAATGTATAGACGAAATTTCTGTTGTGCTGTGAATCAACCCGCCTTGCTGTTCGTTTCCTCTCTCAGCTAGTGTGCCGGTGAGCGATGCATTGGGGTTTATCGGAGATTTTGGTTTCAGCCAACGAGTTTTTGGGCTTCAAATTTGGTGCATGGTTTAACATGATGGCATGAATCCAGAGCTGACCATGACTGACCACGGGAGACCATGACTGACCATCGGAGACCGCACGTGACCGTACATGACCACGGGTGACCACGACTGACCACGACTGACCACGACTGACCATGGTCAATAAATCTTTACGGTAATTCTTTACGGCGGTACCGACGAAAAAAAGCTTTTTGACCACGATTGACCACGATTGACCACGAATGACCGCACATGACCGCACACGACCACGCTTGACCGTGACTGACCATGGTCGACCACAGACGACCATCACCGACCACGGATTTGCAAATTGACCACGAAAAAGATTTGGAACGCTATCGCAGAGAGCAACAAGCAATCAACCAACACAACTAGCACCACAACAAGCACCACAACAACAGCTTCGGCACTTTGCACTTCGAATTTGATGACAACGACAATGATTGGTCTAAGCACGGAGCAGGTTATTATAGCGGCGTTGGGTACCTTTGGATTGATTTGGCTCTCGCTCTCGCTCTCGCATTTTGGTTTTGGTTTTGGATTGACTAGCAACGAAACCAAAGCTACCGAACAAGATGATTCAATTCATTCTAATTCCACTCGCTCTGTTTCTCCTCCTCCCTCTCTTGCCGATGAGAAGAAAGTCATGACGTGCCCTCCGTCTCCACCCCAATTCTCCAATCTGTTTGTCCAAGCCGTTGACGAGAAGAAAAAAGAGAGTGTCAATCAAACTGTTTCTATTGCGAGCTACACTTTGGCTCATGGGATTGTGCTCACTGCCGCTCAAGGATCCGTGGTTCATTTCAAGAGTGATTTGGGTGCCATTGTAACAGCATGCAACGAGAAACTAGCTGCCATCTCTGGGACCGACAAAGCTGTTTACTTTGCTGGTGGTTTGAATCTCTCCACTGACCGGATGTCGCTTTCCAACCTCTCCAACAAGTCCAATCAGCTTGTCAAATGCCCTACAGGACGTGCCAGGATTGTTGGCCCCAAGAAGTACGGGGAGCTTGGTGTGGAGTATGTTATCCATGCGGTCGGCCCTGATTTTAACGACTGCTCCACAGACGAGGACAAAACCAAATCCATTCAGCGCCTGCGCAACTGTGTCCGCAACTCCTTGGCTCTTACTGACAACAGAGCTATTGCGCATGTGTGCATGCCCTTGATTTCGACTGGTGCCTTCCGTGGGCTGCAGAAGTTGGATGATCTCATCTCTGTGATTGTGCGTGCCGTCCGTGATTGGTCTTCTGAACCCGAGCGAAATCAGCGTTACTCCAACACCAAGAATATTGTCCTCTGTGCATACACTCGTAGCGATGCTGATGCCCTTGTTGCTGTTTGCGACAAGCTCTTGGTTGGAAAGTACAAGATTGAGATGAAGTAGGACGTGGCAACGGAAGGAGTGGCAACGATGAAGCGAAAATGAGAGAAAGAAAGAAAGCAGTAGCGTTAAAATTATAGTCTAGTATTGGATGGAACTGGTCTCTAGCTGGGTAGCCGCTGTTGTAGCGGTGGTATCTCTTTCCTCTCGCCATGGCCGCTCTTGAACTAGCTAGCTAGATAAATTCGAATGGAAGCTTGGAGGCTACGTTTTGAGCAACATACGAAGGGCTTTGGGTTAGGGATACGCACGAGATTTAACGGAGCACCAATTGGAGACTTAACACTGAATCCCAACGCTCGCTCGGATTACTCGCTTCTTTGTTGTTCTATCTACTACGTGTAATAGAGTCGCCACAAATCGAACTGAAGCTTTCATTGGAAGCATCAAACTGATGCTTTGAGGAGAAGATGGGAAAGCGCCGTTGTTTCTTGGCTCACAACTTGGCAAGATGCCGGTCACTCAAGCTACGTTTGAGCTCGCTGGGCGCAACATTCTGTCTCGCAACAATGGTGCTTTCCCTTTCGAGGACTTTCGCTCTCTTTTTGGGTCCAGCGTGGAGGTTGTGTTTGAAGCTTGGTGCTATGCTGACCTAGGCAAGCACAGCCCAAGCACTTACTTTGGGCTCTCATGTTTACGAAGACGTATTCCACGAGGCAGTCCATCTCAAGCTGGCTGGTGTTCGAGCAAACCAACATTTCGCAAGTGGGTCCGATACACCCTCACCAGGCTGACACAGTACTTTCCGGAGCTGGTACGTTGCAGTTGTGTATTGTTGCTTCTGCTATTGCTGGCTCTAACACTTCTTCTCAGGTTAACCTTGATCTCCGATTCGAAGGCGACCGCGGCAGGACTTGCCTCCAGACTCTCGATGGCACGGACTTTCGCATTCAGGAGCCTGGCGTGGATGGAGAATGGGACTTCTTTGGCTCGGATGGTCGCCGATTGAAGTTCAATCCAAAGTGGTATACGAAGAAGTTCAATGGCCCGGTGTGCGTTATGAAATAGCAATCTGCATTCAGACTGGCAAAATCTGCTGGGCCTATGGCCACTTTCCGTGTGGCAAGTGGCCTGACTCAAAGATCTTTCAGCACAAGCTCCAGCATGAGCTGGGAGTCAATGAGATGGTTGAAGCTGATCGAGGATACACTGGCCTGCCTTTTGATGTGCGCACTCCCGACGATTATATGAATGAAGCCGACAAAATTGCCAAAAGCCATGCTCGTGCCCGTCATGAGATCATCAATCGACGCCTCAAGCAGTGGGGATGCCTTGGCCAAAAGTTTCGTCATGACCTCGGCTTCCACCAGACCTGCTTCAGGGCCGTCGTGATGATGACACAGCTGGCCATTATCCATGGCGAGCCTGTGGCTTTTGACGTGGAGTATTAGATAGTTGTAAGTGCTAGGTTTTGTTGTGGATGGTTGCTAGGACCAGGAGTGACTGCACTCGACCGTAGATAGCCTCTCATGACCAACAAAGTAGCCATCAGCTTGACCATTTTCTGATTTCCCTGAGAGCTGATGCACTTAAAGGTCCCGATTTTCTTGAGCCATTAAATAAACCTGGATTCGCAAAAGTGTTCGAAGTTGCAGAAATTGGATTCTCAAAAGCTACAGTGGCTGTTTCCTTCATGGAACCCTGCGACCACTACCATCCATTGCGACGCACCGTGTACCGTATTATGATACAGTTGGAGCTTGGAGGACGTGACTTGCACGGGCTCTTGCCCTAAGGTCTGATGCTCACAATTTTCAAGTCTGGAAGTAAGGAAGAGAAACACTCCAAAAGATGTGCCAAGCAAATAACAATAATACCCTCAACAGAGCCATCCAAATGGACTCCACGATGACGACCAATGGTATCCTCAAGATCCAGACACAAGATGAATCCCTGGCTGTCAAGACACCTGTCAGCAAGCCATCAAGGCATGTTTCCTTTGGAGATACCGAGATTCATACCTTTCCCCGACTGTTGGACACGGGCCGTGAAAGGCCCTGCTTTGACCATAGGATGGGAGCCAGTCTCATCTAAAGTTATCACATTTCAAGAATTCTACTTGGTCTATTGAAGCATCAATGGCAAGCCTAGGCCATTAATTGCGGATGACCGCATTATCATTCTCCTGGATGCTGGGTGCGAAAAAGAAGAACTTTTGCAGCACTTTCTGCCTGCCTCAGTCAAGGAGGAACAGCAGCAAGCCAAATTGCAGTCCAAGACGATGTATGGAAAAGTTCGAAAGGCAGCCTTGAAACTGTCGGGTATCAAAAGTGTCAAAGTCTGGCGTAACTAACTTTCATTGCCTCCAAAGAATGCAGCCTCCAGAATCTTCTTCCATCCATCCCTAGTATGCTATTCACACTGGATACGTACACCTCTGTTTTGAATAATATGCGCTAGAGAATTTCCCTTTTCAATTCTAGTTCTTCTTATTGGGGCTCAATCCTTTGCTCGCAGCAAGCTTGCTTGTACTCAGTCTGAAACTTCCCTTGGCCTTTGGCACTTCATCGTAGATCATAGATGCTGAAGCCGTACAGGTATCTAGGTTGGATTGGTGCAAGTTGCTGAAGAACTCGCTAGCTAGAAGGTACCCTTTAGAATATGGGGCAGTGCGACAATGCTGGGAACTTGAACCCACAGCGACCTTCTGAACAAAAATAAATAATGCATGTCCCTGAGCCACTGTCAATTTTCCTGGTGAAACTCTTGGGTAGGGCTACATAGCTAGCTAGTAGCCAACACTCTTTATTGTGCCGACATCACACAATCGAGCAAGCCCTGGCCACCACCTTATGCCAATCCACGTCATGGGTATCCAAGTTGAATCACTGCCTCCCTTAGTTGGTGGTACCGAGGCTTTGCACCTCTTCCTCAAGGTTTCTTGCTACAGAGTGGCTGGGAGCTTGGCTGTGGCCTTCGACAACCATACTCCCAAACTTAAAGTTGGATTGGATGGCCGGTTTGCACTGCTCCTGGGTGGTTCCTGCGTTGTTCCTGCGTGGTGTTTTACTTTTCGAGGACCGAGGATCTTGCGGATGTAGCTGACATGGAATTCAGTTGCGGCGTGTTTTTTGTGTGTGCTTCGTCCCAAGTTGGAGTTCAGCAGCTGTGGACCGCTAGACTAGCTAGTAGGATCACGGCAAGAAAGCATGTTCCCGAAGTGGCCCAAATCTATTTGGAGAAAGCTGCAAGGAGCGCCTGCACAGGGTGGGACACCGCGTTCCAGGGCAGTTATGCAGGTTGGGATGGCAGATGGCAGTAGAGTGCATGCAAGATGAAACTCGAAGCCATAGATCGGTGCAGTAGATAATGGTGATTACATGTATAGCCAGCGGGTCCTAGGTGGCGGCGGGGCAATGGGAGGCTCTCTTGACATCCTGTGTATGTTTGTTAGGTCCACCCTTCAATGATATCGCTGGCAAGCAAACAATAACATCCAGCATGTACGCAAGCCCTGTCACCACCTTGGGAGAGCTCTTGGGAGGCAGCTATCTATGCATACCTACCGGTACCGGTTTTCTCTTCACTTCACTTCTGAACAATGTCTTTTCATGACACTTTGGATGCTTTGAGAGTTAGAGTACCAGCCTCAGTCATCGGTCAAATGTCTTGGAGTTCATCCTCACCAACAGTGGTACAGTACACTGATACTGGGAATGCGTGAAGTCACAGAATGTCCGAAACTCCGGGCTTCCCCCGCGCCCAAAAGCAGTCGCAACAATCGCATTGCTCACTACTTCTTCCGCGGCTTTCAACGTGAGGCATTGAGGCATCACATAAATGCTAAAATCGTATTATCACATAAATTACAACACAGATGAACAAGGTGAGCTCTATCGACACCAGCAAACCCTTTAGCAGAGTGACAGTCATGCATCCAATTAAGCTACGCGCCTTCACAATGACGCCTCGAGGCATCCTAAAGATTCAGACCCAAGCTGAATCCATGTTTTCTTCGTTTGTTCAAGCCAAGAATCCCTTCACAAAGCGCCAATGCAATGTTTCCTTTGGTAATACAGAGATTCTTGTCTACCCTCAACTTTTGGACACCAGCTGTGGAGGCCCTGCTCTGACCATTGGATGGGAACCAGTGGATAGAATCGTCACTACGGTGCAAGAGTATCACTCAGATAACTTGGAACACAGCAATGGCAGCAAGATCCACTCAATCAAGGCTGAACACCGCATCAGCATGCTCCTCAGTGCTGGTTATAGCAGGGAGCAATTGTATCACCACATGCTCACATTCTCACTCAGGGGAAGTAACGAATCCAAGCAGCAGCACTCCAAGACCATCTATCATAAGCTACAAACCCTTGCATTGAAACTGGCACCACTGAAACTCACAGGGGTCAAAGCTAGACCACATCCGCTGAGGCCATGCAATACCAAACACTGATTCCTTCTACTGATATCCCAATCCTACATTCATCTAGACTACAATAACGATTTTAATTGTAAACTTTCCCTTTTGATTTCGTTGCTGAAGAGCCATAGCCAAGCACCGAATGATTGCAATTGGCTAGCAGCAGTTTGTTTGTCTTGGGCTGTATACCTGGTACCACTCCTGATGGCTGCTAGTCACTCTCCCCGAATAGCATGTATTACCTGCGATATTCGATGCACTATCGGTGCCTTCGGAGTGTCCTCGCAGACAAACTAGAGACAGATCACCGTAACTGGGATTGGGCCAGTCTTCAGCGGCTGCCTCTAGCTAGAAAAGGATGTGATGTTGACCTAAGAGCTAAAGATTTGAATTCACAAGGTCTCGTGGCGAACTCGCGATAACATGATGGGGGGAGGAAAGTTCGTACATGTAGGAGTTACCGACAGGCCAAGACCTACAACAGTCCGTGCAAAGCCAGTTTTGTCAGAGGGGAGAACGTAGTCTTCCATTGCAGGGTTGAAACAATGAACAACTCCCGACTTATCGCCATGGACGATTCCACGCCGTCAAGCAAAGCGAGCCGGCTTATGAAGGCGGAAACTGCGCCAAGTTCTACGAGGCCAGCAGCTTCAACACACTGGACTACCATAGATCTATTGGTCGCCTCTGGTCGGGGATGAGCCATGTATGCACTTATGGAAGGTGTGGACGGTGATAGGTTTCTCGGTGCATCTCCAAGGCAGCCTGTGAGGAGCAAACTCTCCAATTGCAGCTGGGCACATGTGGCTCCAGCGTCCATAAGGCACCAACGATAAGAAGCCCAACGAGTCAGCTTAGCTATGAAGGCGGAAACTGCATAAGTTCAACGAGGCCAGCATCAACACACTGGACAAGACGCATCTTTTGGTCGCCGTGGTCGGTATTCAGCCAAGGTGCATGCATGGAACGCGTCCCCGGTCAAAGCTTTCGTCTGTGCATCTTCTACGTTGCCTGTGAGGACTCTCCAATTGCAGGCTGGGCGCGCATGTTGCTCCTGTGATAAGAAACATATGTGTCTTTCATTTTTCATTGATGGTTGTGTTGTGCAATTATTGTTTACTCTACTCTACAAGGTAGGTCAAAAATGAAGATTTGGTTGCCTGCTTTCGGAAGCATACCAGTACGGATTCCAAACTCGTCGCATACTTCTCCGCCTTCGGAAGCATACCCGTACGGAACCAAACTCTTCGCGTACTTATTATCCAAACAGCTCGTACCGTACTCCCGCCTGTCGGACCGAGCAGTAGCACGTCAGAAAGATAGAAATGGCCGGAGCCCAGTATCCCACTCGCGCTTGCCACCCGGTAAAGAACGCTCCGACTCCTCCTTCTTCGTAAATGAGTCGTCCCATTTCACTAAAGCCCAGCGGTTTGTTGTCCTCGTCTTCTTCATCGGTGGATTGCGTAATGATACGAGTGGTAATGACATCGGCCGGATTGGTCAAAAATGCCCCGCATCCTCCCGCAAAGGCCCCAATAATGGCTTCCGACGACAACGTACTGCTATCAAAGTCAATGTTTGGATTGTTGAGTATATACGCCTTGACGAGTTCGAAAATGGCCAACTGAATGGCGCCAAAGGGCACATCCCTCCAAATGGAAGCCGACCATGCCCGCACCACGTTGGCCCTACCTTCGGAACTGCCCATGATTTGTTCGACCGCCGCCATTGCCGAGTCGGCCGACTCCGATTGCACCAAGGACTTGACGGCTTCGGCAGGAGCCCTCACGACGGATCCTACCGTTTCTCCTGCGGCCCCGGCCACCAAGTACACGAGCAGCAGTAGTTCCGGACTTGTACGAGGCAAGAGACTGTACTTGACCGACTCGTAGACCCCGAGGTAGAGTGCGGATGGCGGTCCTTCCTTTAATAGATTTCCCGTGAGCCCCACGTAGAGACTGGCAAAGAGAGTGAAGAAATCGTCATCGTCCTTGACGGCTTGTTTGGTCACGGCATCTCTGACCAATGCGGCGTCACTGCTGTCCAAATGCAGCTGTGGTTCCACAACATTGTCGTGTTCGAGTTCTTCTTCTTTTGTGAGTACAGCCACCGGAGCAGCGTCCAACAGTGCGACTTGTTCTTCTGGCTGCAAATCACTCATGTTGTAGGTGATGCTGCTAGTGCTAGAGCTGGAGCGCTCCGTGACTCGTTCTACAAGTGTCGCCGAGGAGGCTGAAGAGACCAATGGTACGAGGCCGTCCTTGGCGTGAGGGTATCCATTGTTGTTCGGGGTATTGGAAGCCATCACTTCCCATTCTTCATCATCGTCTTCATCATCTTTGTCTGCCCCACCATTGTTGGCAATTTGAAGTCGTGTCTTGATGGTATCGACGGGATGCATGACCAAGGTGGATGCCACACTACCAATAAATGCGGCGAGATAATTGAACCAGTACGGCTGTGCTTCTAGCTTGTCGAGTAGTTTTTCTCTGGATACAATTTGTGCTTGCAATTGTTCGGCATTGAGCAATTCTTCTTCGTCCATGGACGTGTAAAAGTAGTCATCTGAAGCGGTTGCCTTGCGTTGTTTGAGTGCTTCAATGACATCGTCGAGCTGCGCACCAAATTGCTCGAGACGGGTTTCATCAATGGTAGATCCAATGAGTTGTTTGAGTTTTTTACCACCAATGTCCTTGCCTTGAATTTGGGGGCGTGTAAGTCCTGGAATGGGTTGCGTTGTGGCTGCCGAGGAGGGACCAAAATCGGCGTTGGCTGTCAGTGGCGTCAAGAGGAGCAGAACAGCAAGAGACAGGCTCATCAGGAAAGACCAAGGAGCGTCAGGTAGTTTGTTGCTCCAGTCTGAGCCTGATCTTGGAATTGCGTCTGAGCTTGACGAGCCTGAGCCTGGGCTTAAGCTTGAGCTTGACAACACTGAGCTTGACAACACTGAGCTTGACGAGCCCGGGCTTGAGCCTGAGCTTGAGCCCGGGCTTGAGCCTGATCTCTTGGGCATGTTCAGGTTCAGGTTCAGGTTCAGGTTCAGGGGAGAAAACCCATCTCTGTCAAAGTTATCCTTATCCTTGGGGAGACTTGCATATCTCTTGCTACCTGCAAGTTCAGCCCTTGTTACCCAATGCTTCTTTACAGTGGCCGCTCTGGGTGTCCCCACAAAGGCTTCGACCGTCAGATAACCTTCATGATGGGTCAGACTGAGGATCAAGCATGATAGTGACAATGACAAGGCTACCCTCATTTTTTCAGATTTCTTGTTTTCTTTTTGCCACCTGTCACTTGTTTTCTGCCACTTGTCACTTTTTCTGCTTGTGTCTTCTTGCTTTTGTTCTTGGTTTTGTGCTTTGGGTTAAGTTGTTGACTTGACTTGACTTGACTTGACTTGCTTGCTACTTGAATGCTCCCACTGATACTCGTCTTCTCCTGTTCCTCTTGTATAGTTTCTGGGGCATTGCTACCTCAATTGCCTCAATTGCTACCTGCTCAGATCCTTTTTTGTGCTCTGCTTCCTCTTTCTAACTTTGCAGCAGCAGATCTGTTCTCCAAAGAAGAAAATGATGATGAATAATGAGGTGCCAGCCTGTGGTTCCGCAAAAGAGTGCTGATGATGACACCACAATCCTTGCTGTACCGTGCTGGTAGTAGCAAGAGGAAAGTTAGTTGTGGATCAGAACTTTGGAGATACGGACAGATGCGCTTGCTTGGACACGATAATCTGCGTCAGAGTTGTCCAATCGGGACGAGCCAAATGAATGACGACACCACCCTCCGTGGCACTACTTCAACATTCGACTTGATATCATTAGGGGCAGAGATAAGATAAATGAGGGACGGCTGGCATCTCGAATCTCGAATCTCGATCGCAGCGATGACGATAAAGCAGCTCTAATTCGAGGCTTGCATCCGGACCAGGATGTCGTGGGAGTGCTTAGTAGAGGGGGGTTAAGAGTGGGAGTTCTTCTTTGTAGTTTCAATCCTGGCTACCAGGTACTAGTAGCTAGAGCTCAGCTACTGTACCGGTACGAGTACGGAAACAAGACGTGCTGCGATCACAAGCAACACCACGCTGACGGCAGGGGCTCAGTGCGTGCATCAAGTTGATAGAACACAGCGTTTATAAGTTGCACGCGCACACAAATTGTTTCAATCTGCAACCAACGCGTCTATCTATGATCGAGCAAGGCACAGACCAATCCACAACCAAGGTTGCCAAGGAACATATTTGGTTATCAGTTCGTATCATCATACATGTATCTATAGTATGAATATTCTATTACTCTACCCAGCCAGTGATCTATAATATCCTTCGAGTAAAACCACCAGGTCGCTGTCGACTCTGTCCTCGACTTACTAGCTAGCCAAGGCAAGGGCGAATCTCACGAATTCGCTCCAGTCCTGACTCGTGCATACCAGTGCAGGAAAAAGTGCCTTTCCTGTGAGTGTTGCCGTGTGACCTGCTCCTCCAGTTGACGGCTGTTGCCGTTCGATGACTCGACGACGATCTGTTCAAAGCGTCTTCCTCTGTTAGCGGGGGCGAGCGATGGATCGACAATGGAAATCCATCGGCCGTCGGCAGTGACTTACTCTTGGCCTGCTGTTCAAAATTCTCCAATGTTACTGTGATGGGCCAACAAAAGAAAACCTTCCCAAGCTGGTAGGACTTCAACCAGGATGGCTTTCTGTTCTGCCCTCCCGGAGACGCTCTACTTGACTGGGGCTTGATAGTAGAGGTACGAGGATTCGGTCGGTCTTTCGATTGGATTGAAACTCGTTGGGTTGATCAGCTTCAATATCTCTGACTGAAGGATCCAACATCAGCGCTTGCGTCGAGTATAGTTGTGGTGGCTCTTCAGCCACACTCAACCAGTAAGCCACATGCATATCGACAATGAGAATAGACCAAAGCAACGGCAACAACCATGGTTACGTCATGGCTCGATTCGATCACCTGTCTGGTGACTAGCGAGGGATACAACGATTCGTTCAAACACACTCTAGATTTGTCAAAGATACAAGTGGGGGAACGTCAGGCAACAACCGGAGCAACAGCAATAGCAACAATCGCTATCATGATGAAAGGATTGCTGCGCTTTTCCTCCGCTGATGCACATCTATCTGGACACCACCATGGCACAACTTAAACATTCCATCTCATTAGGAGCAGAGATAAATGAGGGAGGGCCATCTCGCAGGAACCACTGCTGTGCATGGACTGGGTTCATGAGATAGATGATAAGCATGCTGACGACCGTCCAAGCTCCCAACCCAACGGGTCCCGAGTCCCGAAGAAGCTCCAATTCCAGGCTTGTATGCAGCCAGCCGGGCCAGGATCGATACAAGTTGCTGAGTCTGTGCTTCCTTGTTGTTTCAAATCGTCACGTAGAACTCTCCGGGTCCTTCTTCTGACTACTAGCGCTGCAAGACATCTCCTGGCGGAATGAAACCAATCGAGACTGCAAAATAGGTTTTCACGTTGCCTGGTCAGCAACCTGAGTAAGAGATGAAAAGGTGTCCAGTACCCATGGAACCCAGTCCTGTCTTTGCTTAAGCCTGGCCTCGCTGGCTTCCATATAGATGATACACCGACTCTAAACCGACTCCAAACCACCGGGTACCGGTACAGATCAAGAGTGCCTCGATTTCCCCAATGCTGGGAGCTCATCGTAGTAGCAATAAGAACACGAGAACCAGGAAGGCGCATCATAGCTGTTTGAAGGGCAATGCTCTATCGGGCGGAAACAAACTACATATGGAATGACATTGGATACACATGGGTACACGATACCCCGTTGCCAGGCTTGTTGCTTGTTTGGCAAGGGCCTATGGACTTCAAGTGGCAAAGCAAAGTCCTGCCTCATTGCAACAACTTGTGCAGCAAGCACACTGGATTGCAGGAACTCCGGTTTCTGGATTGGGCAAACAGTCAGCCACAACCTTTAAAGAATTGCCTTTCTCAGCATAGCGAGTCTGGCAGAAAGAGACTGGGACTGTGCCAGATAGATCATTCCCACCCACCAGTAGTTGTTCCAGCTTTGTTACTGCCACAATCTCATTCGGGATGGTCCCATGGATGTTGTTATTGGTAAGATGCAGCTCTTCAAGATTTGTCAAAAGACCAAGTGATGCGCTGATGGTCCCGGTAAAGTTGCACCCATCCAAGTACAAAAACCTAAGATAAAGTCCAGTGTAGAGTTCTTCAGGGATTGTCCCTTGCATGTTGGTGTTAGAGAGTTCGAGTTTAACAAGCTGGTTTGCCAAGCCAATCTCTGAGGGCAAGGTACCAGAAATCTGTGTGAAGTTCAAGTTCAGATATTCCAAATTGGCGAGCAGTCCAATTTCACTTGGCAAAGTTCCCGTGAGCTTGTAATGCACAAAGATGAACAAACAAGGTAAGCTTGGGCATGTGCAGGACTATGGTGCACCAAGAGATACCAGGGAAAAGAGGAAAGAGGAACTCACATCATTTCTACCCAAATAGAGCACTTGTAGAGAGCTTTGTTTGAATAGTTCTTCTGGGAGAGAACCCGTCAGAGAGTTGTCTTTGAGTGAAATGGTGTTCAAAGAGAGTAGACCCAACTCTGATGGAATAGTCCCGGTCAAAGTGTTCCTATTCAGAGTCAGCAAGGTAAGTTTTCCACTTCCTTCAAGAAGGCTTGCAACCCATTCTGCAGGAATAGTGCCAGAAAATTGATTCGAGTACAAAGCAAGAGATTCCAAGGCAACACCTGCCTTTTTGGAAAACAGTCCTGTTGGCAGTGCTCCAGTCAGCATGTTGTTGTTGAGCCGTAGAAATCTTAGCAGTGGCAATCTTGTGATCTCCCAGGGAAGAGGGCCATTAAGATCATTCCAATCTGAAGAATGAAGAAATCCACAGCGTCAGAAACAGGCAAATCACAGATGTTTGATAACCTTTTGGAGTGACTTACAAAGACGTAGCTCAACCACTGTCCTTTCCTCTGATTCCACAGCTTCACAGATAATTCCAGCCCACTTGCATTCATGACTGGCAGAGAGCCACTGATCACCCCATATTTGCACTGTTGCTTCACCAGTGGTAGGATGTGGTTGGTAGCAGAAATTGGCTGTTGCACTCCCTTGGGGAGATGCTGGTGGATTGCTTTCTTTCCACGGTTTGTACCTGGTGGTTTGGTAGTAGAAGAGCACCAGCAGAAACCGCTGAACCAAGTTGGGTGAATCGTACTCCAACTGCATTGGGTCTTGATTGACAATCCAGTCAAACGACTTCAGCCTAGTTTCCAGCAAGAATTCAGCAAGGTCAACATCCAAATCATCTCCCGATTCGTCCACATGTTCGAAATAGTCCCTGCCCAAAATGAGAGTTAAAGTGACTCTAATCAAGGGTGCCTCAACAGCATCTCTTGTTGTGGTGGGTGCGATGGTACTGCTGCCATCCACATAGACCTTCTGGCTGCACTGTCCTGTTCCACAGACAGCCCCAATAAGAATACCTGCAACAACCAAAAGGACGAATATGGCTTCCATGAGATAGAAGGCCAATTGCTTCTCTTCTGACTGTTATCGTTCCCAGTATCAGCAGTAGCAACGGGCAAGTCATCTTCAGCAACAGGTCTTGCCTCTGCCAATGACTCGGGGGGAGGTGGTGGGATATTTATCCGCGCTTCTTCTTCATCCCGAGCATCTGTGTTCATACCACCGCCTCTGCTTGGCTGACGTGTTTGCTCATTTAATTGGAATGTTTGGACAGAATGTGCTCCTGGGACACTCTCCTGCACCACGTTTCTTCTAATACCGACAACAGGGAGGGATGTGGTTTCTTGACTCCACGTTGGGGATGGCGCGGTGGTAGCATCCTCCTTATTCACAGCAGCAATTTGGTCCATGGCTGGATTTCCACTGTCCAGCATTGCTGGATCCTTGTTTTGGCCCAAATTTGGGATGTGCTCACGTTGTACACCAATTTTCTTGGTTACTTCATCATCCTTTTGCTCCTTTTGAATGGTTGGATCAATGGCAGTGTCATTATCTGATTCCAAGGAAATTTGTGGAACCGAGTAGACCTGGGTCTTCTGGTTGATTCGTGATTCCAGGCTTGCCATGGATGGAGTCTGAGGGGAGAGATCTTGTATGGTAACTTTCTCTTGTTCCTTGAGGATTCGATTTTCGTTGATTTGTTGGTGGCTGGCAGTGATACTCTTGCTATCAGCAGGAGCTTGGGAAAATGCCTCCAGAAGTGGCGGCAAAACTGACGGCGTCGTCGTTGTGGTTGTTGGTCCTCTTGTTTGCTGTTCGATTGGCTGAAACGTAGGATCCTGTACATCATGGGTATCGTGTAGACTCTGTACTGATGGGTACATGCGAGGGACAAATAGTTCAGCATCTTGAAAGTGTGTAGTGACGGAAGAAGCACAGCTCATGTCTTCCGATCTGGGGATATCGACCACACTGGGTGGTTCCACTACCGAATCATCCTCGACATCTTAAGATTGCGGCTGTTGGTATTGCGGATCAGTGCTAGAAGGAAGCAACCTCTTATCAGAATCAGCTCTGTTTTCCATGGCTTTAGGTGTTGACATAAAGTGCTGTATTGTGGAAGCCGCCCTTGGGATTGACCGATACTACTAGTATGGATAGACTAATGGAGTGCCACGGCAGAGTGACCATTGGCTTGGAGATCGATCGAGCAGCGGGGCAACAACGAACATGATGAAACGAAAGGGTCGTGATTGTCATGATGACCTTGAACACGTGCTGAATGTTTCATATAACGGCAAACTTGCAATCGGTAGAAGGGCTTGTGTGTAAAGACTCCTCGTAGAGATTATGACGATCTGGACTTCTAAGTGACATCGTCAGGATCCGTGAGGATTTATTGATGAAGCGTGCATTGACAATCAGACGTTGGTTGAATATCTTTCACCTCATTTTTCTTCCATTGTGCTCCCGGGAACAGACGTGTGCATGTTGTGCTTCGAATGCCACCGTGATGTCTTCCATGATCGAGATGCAGGCAGAGTATTCTTTTATTAATAAAGCTGTCCCAAAACGAAACAGCGATCGAGTGGGTGCCAAGATCGCAGTACTTGTCCGCATCAAAGCCTTGCTTTTCAGCTGCCGGTAGCTAGTCAGTCAGCTATAGTGTTGTATAAGGATGATGGGCAAGCTTCAGACTTTTTCTGTGGCGTTTGCGTTGTTTTCAAGTTGGTTATTAGTGTTCCCAGTGCCTGTGACAGCAAGCAGTACCAACCAGGATGTTGTTAAAGATTCCTTCTTGAGGGACGTTACTGCTACTACTGCTAGTAAGGGAAGACGAAGCCTTACACTGGATTGGTGTGATACCGGCTGTGATGGAAATAATGATGTGAGTTGCCAAATCCCAAAACCTGTTCATTTGATGATCTTTCACCTGATCTCTCTCTTTTCTCTTTTTTCTATAAAAAGTGCGAAAACTGGCTGGTGTGTTATTTCCGAGAAGCAGGAGATGCCATCCCCAAGTGCTGCAGCAATGGAAACTTTGTGCGATCCACCAGTGACGAAAACTACTGCGTCACGGCGGGTTGTGCGGCATGGACTCTGGATCCAACCAATCCTGATCCCATTGCCAACTTGCAAGACGATGATTACCTAAATGAAAATTGGCCAGAAATTGAAGAGTGTGAAGTATGTCAAGTTGATTTTAAACTTGAAAGGCTGTACCGGTGCGCAAAAAGATGTGAGAAATATATTTGGTTTCTCACTTTTCAACTCTCTGTATCTTTTTTTGCAGGGCGACTGTGACTACAATTATCAGGCAAGTTACATACCGGAACTAGTATATCTTATGCAACCTGTGGAATATCTGCTTTTCAGCCTAGCATCTGATCGTTGCCTCTTTGCTCAATTTCGTACTATCTTTTTGTGTTCCCTAATTGCATATTATTTTACAGTGCAAGGGCGACTTGGTCTGCTATCAGCGAGACAAGGATGACAATACACCCAATTGCTGTTCCGGCCTTTCCAAGAAGGATAGTACCGATTATTGCGTCCCATCATCGTGTCTACCTCCCACACCGGCACCTACACCCATTTCCGACAATCTCGAAGGTCTTTGCTTTTCGGGAGATACCCATGTCACGGTACTCCCACGCAACGACAACTTCAATATGCACCATCATAACGATGACCAAGACGGATCGCCGTTGCCCATGAGAGACTTGCAAGTGGGAGATTGGGTCTTGACGGGAACGAAGAAACAACACTATCAACCCGTCTACGCCTTTGCACACATTCAACCGCAACAACTCACCGAGTTTGTACAAATCTACACCAGCCAAACCAGCACGTCGCCCTTGGAAGTCACGGCAGAACACTTGGTCTACACCCATAACCATGGACCCGTGCGAGCCGATTCCATTCAAGTCGGTGACAAGCTACGTTCCACCAATAAGGACGATGTGGTCGTCACCAAGATTGGGTACACGACTCGAGAGGGATTGTACACACCCTTGACCGAATCCGGAACCATTGTCATTGATGGGATCGTGGTGTCGACGTATATTGCCGTACAATCCACTGCCACTCAGTACGTCGAACTGGCCGGGGGCACCATCACCCTGCCGTTTTTGACACAGGCTCAGGTCGTCCATTGGTGGTTGAGTCCACTCCGATTGGTCTGTCTGGCTTCTTCCTGGCAATCATCATCGAGTAGTAGTATGCAAACGGTACTGTGTCATACTCATACCCGCAAAGGCAAGTTGTTTTACGTGGATGTCGGGCTGCGCTTGGCCAAGTTCATGGAACGTCAACACGTAATCCTGCAAGTCGTGGTCTTGATCCCTATCATGGCCGTTTTGGCCGTACCCGTGGCCACCGAGTATCTGTTTGGTGCCGCCCGTGGACTCATTGTCGGGATCATGGTCGGCTTGATGCTAGGTTGCCTGGCATTGTTGAGGTACCAAGCACGTATACATGGCAAGAAACATGGTGTTGTCTGAGTAACGAAGAACAATGGGGCCTCATCGTCGGGACCTTGCATCTATGAACAAAATGATAATAATAATCAAGAATGAATTATGTGTAAGCTATCCATCAGCGACTTGGAGAAAACTAGGAAACGGGTCCAAAGGCGGGATTGCGTGGGTGGAAGGATGGGTTCCAGAGGGATACACAGCAGAGGCTACAAGAGCATTGGAGATGCAGAGCAACGTGAGTGGGAATGTGGAGTGCTACATGTCGTCTCTGGTGTGCCCATCTATCTGGTGGGGAATTCTGGGGCAAGAGACAGGGTGTGATTAGAGGTGGCAGCAGGAATTCAGGAGGCCAGTGGGGGCTGATAGGAGTTGCTGTTAGAGAGCATGGGCATGTAGGTCTTTCTCTATCTGAATTGAATGGAATGATTCAATCGAACTGGCTTCGGTAGATGTCTATGCCCTTGCCAAACAAGCAACAATTCTGGAAACACTGCATCCATTATACCACACTGAGCGTGAAGCTTTAGTGGATAGTGCTCTATTTGGCTAGAAATGATGTGAGTCCCCCTTCCTCTTTCCCTGCTTTCTCTTGGTGAATGATACACCTGTGCGTGCCCACAGCTTACCATGTTTGTTCCTCTTTGTGCATTACAAGCTCACGGGGATTGCGAAACTTTCAAGAGAAGAAAGAAGGCGGATGCAACCCTGCGAGATGCCTGTGCTCGGTTTGGTGTGGGACACTTGCCACCGACGTTGAGCAGATCCCGAAGGTGTTTCCTTGGATTGGGCCGGTTGCTTTCAGTCAAGGCTGGGTCTGCGATGTACCGCTGTTGCCTGTACGGGCTGTCAAAAAGAGTGCTACAGCATTGCACGCTACACGTTCCAGCCGCTAAGCGATGAATGTTTGGAGTGGGTTAGGTTAGGGTGGGTTGGAATGAGCTGTGCTATTGACAAGCTCAACGAGATATATAGTCAAACAAAGGGAGCTCGCTCGCGGTGCAGCCGGGCAGCTATGTCGACAAAGTTGCCCCACCCAGATTGCTTGGTCCACCTGGTTGGCGACCTCTATGAAAAGACGACCCAACAAATCCTCATCAAATGCATCGGAGAGATCCCGGACGAACAGTCAACACAATGAATGTCATTTTCAAAGCAGAACTCGCCAAGCCTTCGCTCACTGCTGGTCGCAAGACATGCACGCATTGTCACGGAGAAGCAGCTGTCTACAAGAATTTGCAGCTACTGTGCCCTCTACATCAATCCAATGAGCTGGGATTCCATTGGCAGTTGTGTGTGTGTGTGTGTTATATGTAACGGTCCATGCCGGTTCCGTAAAGTGTGGGCGAAGGCGTGACTCGTGATGCAATCCACACTGGATCAACTTCGTACGACAACGATCCTTGCAAACGAAGCTCCCAATCCGAGAAAACGGTACAGACGTTCTGGAAAACTTTGATTGAGATCTTCGCCGCGGTTCCATGTGATCAGCCTAGTGGTGCCAATCTACAAACAAGAGGTTGAAACTCCCTATTCGAGTTTCTGGTTCCGACATGTCCTTTGACGGCTACGGTCAATTGTGGGCAGGAATTTCGTTGGGGCGCCATGATTGCTCTGTCGCGCCGTTGGAGCCAAGATTCCTCGACACCAAGACGATGCCAATTGGGAGCTTACACCACTTGCGTGCCACCCCGTACATACACGAGAGTGTCGCAGCTCTGGGAGAAGAGGACCGTAAAGAAACCCAGCTTTCGTATACTAGCAAAGAAATCCAATACTCCAGTCCCTTTATTCAATTGTCTGCTATGATAGGCCGTACAGTGGTGCTTGAAAGATTTCTCCGGGTGGTTGGGCAAATCCATGGTGCGCACGAGGCTTCGGCAATGAATCGCCCCTCTGCCATGGATATACCGGTATCATCATCACAGAAAGCTCTGATGAATTTCTAATACTGTAGGAACTGTGCGCCTTTCCGATGCACTTTGCTAAAAGTTCGGAGGCTCACAAAAAAAATCTGGATCACTGAATTCCTGTGGTGTTCTCCAACGGCTCTCCCAGCTTTTGGCTCAAAAGTGGTCCAAGCCCTACTCTGTGGTTCGCTCTTTCATCTCGGCCAGGTTGAGCATAGCTCTTGCCCGTGCCACGACAATGTGTTTGAGAGGCTCCCGTGTCTCAGCTCTCAAGGTTTCCAAGCGTTGGGATGACTGTGGTGCCCTCGATCTCTTCCGCTAGTCTTGCTCCTTTGCTCCTCCCTGCCCTCCTGCCTTCACCCCTTCCTTGGTTTCCATGTTGCCCTGCTTGCGCACTTGATTGCCTGCCTTGCGTTCCTGCGTCGTGCCCTCCCCTTGACCTCTGTCTCCCTCCTCATCTTAGCTCTCTCTAATCCATAGTAAACCCGATTTATTCATTCCTGTGGTGTGCAGAATTCCCATGCTCAGTCCTAGCTAGCTAGATAGGTCTTTGGCGGATGCGGTGAGTAGCTCGATCTAGAATAGCCACAGATTGTACACTTCGGAGTGTTATTGCTTCTATTGTTGTTGCAGGTGTCGCGTTATTGCTTTGGTTCACAGTCACTTTCACGAGTGGTTCACGATCTGTCTTACCCTATACCCGTATACCTGCTACAGAGCTCTGCGGTTAATTAACAGCAGCACAGGAGAACATTCGGGACAATGGCGCTCTGCTGCAACAGCGTTGCTATTTGTAAAAATACGAATGATAGAATCAACCCAAGCTCTTAGCCATCGATCCCTGGCTTCCACTCTTGAGCAGGATGTCAACTCCTTCTATTATTGAAAACAGCGCCGATACTGGTGGGATGCTACCAGGCAGCAGTGAACAACAACCACTTCAAGATGTCGAGCATGAGTCGGTAGTGGGCCCACCCAGTTTGATCAACGTCCCTAAACCCGAAGACATGAGCTGTGCTTCTTCGATCACGACTCATTTCCAAGATGCTGAGCTATTTGTCCCTCACATGTATCCATCAGTTCAGAATCTACACGATACCAATGATGTAGATGATCATCCTACCTTTGAGCCAGTCACACTGCAGCCACGAGGACGAACAACGACAACGGCACCTAAGGCTTTGCCACCCCTTTCAGAGGAATCACCCCAAGATGCCGCTGACAGCCAGGATATCATTTCAAGCCACCAACAAATTGACAAAATTAGAACCCTCAAGGAACAAGAAAAAACTACCATTAATGATGCCCCATCCATGGAGAGCTTGGAATCAAAAATAAACCGGAAAACCAACATATACTCGGTTAGACAAATTTCCTTTGAAACAGATGGTGATACCAACAATTGCATCGACACTGACATTCAAAAGAAACGTGGGGAGGATGAGGTTGCCGATCAGAATGAACTCCATGTCGCGCCTGACAGCCCAACGGCCAATGAATCTCTCCCATACACAGATGGTTACAACAAATTCATTTCAAGAACTCTTTCTGCTGCTACTCAAGATGATACCGCACCATCTCCATCGCCAACGGTTATACCCCTGGCCAAGAAAAGAGGTGACCACACCACTAGTTGGGGCATGCACAAGGATCCAGCAATGCTGAATTGTGGAAAGGAACATAGTGAGAATGAGATGGCCAGAAATCCGAACGAGCTTAGTACTGCCGGCCAAAAATTTGATTCTACAATCCAAAGCAACGAGAAGAGCAACCCTGCCACTTCTGAAACGGCTCTTGCTGTCACTGAGGGTGGAACTTCCTCACCATTGCCAAATTATATTCAAGAAATGCCAAAGCCTGTGGCAACACGCTCCATCCCTGCTACTAGAACAAATGAGGAACATGAGAGCCGACCAGGAGCACATGCTGTCCAACTGTCCAGATTCACGGAGCAAACACATCAGCCAAGCAGTGGTGGTGGTTCGAACACTGATGCCGAGCATGCAGAAGAGACAAGAGAAGATATGCAACCACCTCCCCCCGAGTCATTGGCAGAGGCAAGACCTGTTGCTGAGGACGACTTGCCCGTTGCTACAGTTGATACGGGGAACAATAACAGTCAGAAGAGAAGCAATTGGCCATTCTTTATAATGGGAGGGATTTTCGGTGTTTTGGTTTTTGCTAGTATTATTGTCGGGGCTGTTTGTGGCACCGGACACTGCAGCCATAAGGTCTATGTGGATGGCAGCACATTGGCACCCACCACAACAAGAGATGCTGTCGCAGCGCCTGAAATGGAAACTGTCTTGAAAACGGTTTTGGGCAGGGACTATTTCAAACAAGTGGAAAAATATGGAGATGATTTGGATGTTGACCTGGCTGAAGTCATGCTGGAAACTAGGCTGAGAGCATTTGACTGGATTGTCAATCATGACCCCATGCAGTTGGAGTATGATTCTCCCAACTTGGTCCAGCGGTTTCTGCTGGTACTCTTCTACTATCAGACCACAAGGCACAAGCCATGGAAAGTGTGCAACCCAGGAGCAACTAACCAAAGAAGCTCAACAACCAATTTCTGCTACCAAATACATCCTGTAACTGGTGACATTACATTAGACATCTGGGATGATCAGTGGCTCTCTGACAGTCATGAATGCCAGTGGGCTGGAGTAATCTGCGAGAATGCCCAATCAGAGGAAATGGCAGTCACTGACCTAAGCCTTGGTGGGTCAGCAAAGCTGGGCATGTATTTGTGTTGTTAATCAAAAACTTACAGAATAAGTTGTATTGCTCTTCAGGACGGAATCATCTCAATGGCCCTCTTCCCTGGGAGATCACAAGAATGCCACTCCTGGGAATTCTACGGCTCGAGAACAACATGCTGACTGGAACGCTGCCCCCAAGACTCTTTTCCAAGAAAGCCGGTTCTGGCCTGGAAACTCTTGTTTTGTCCTCGAATCAATTTTCTGGCACTATTCCTGCAGAATGGGTTGCAGACCTTCTTGAAGGAAGTGGAAAGCTTACATTGCTGGTTCTGAATAGGAACACTTTGACTGGGATGATTCCATCAGAGTTGGGTCTACTCTCTTTGAAATCCCTCATACTCAGAAGCAACACTTTGACAGGTTCGATTCCGCAAGAAGTCTTCAACCAAACTGCTCTACAGCGGCTCTATTTGGGTCAAAATGATGTTAGTTACTACTGGTCATGCTGTTTGCAGAAGCGCTCACCCATGCATGACCACAGCTTACCTTTTTTTGTTCCTCTCTGCTGATTTCAAGCTCACTGGGACATTGCCAAGTGAAGTTGGACTGCTCACTAATTTGAAATACCTGAACTTGAACTACGCACAGATTTCTGGTACCTTGCCCTCAGAGATTGGCCTGTTAAACCAGTGTGAGGAGCTTGTACTCTCTAACACAAACATGCAAGGGACAATCCCTGAAGAACTCTACACTGGACTTAATCCTGGGTATTTGTACTTGGACGGGTCCAGCTTTAGTGGGACCATCAGCCCATCACTTGGCCTTTTGACAAATCTCATAAGGCTGGGCCTAGCCAGCAACCACTTCCATGGGACCATTCCCAATGAGATTGATGCATTGACACTTCTAACTGAACTTCTGGTGAATGGGAATGATCTGTCTGGCACAGTTCCAGTCTCTTTCTGTCATAATCTTTATGCTGGGGAAACAGGTTCCAAGGTTGTGGCTGACTGTTTGCCCAATTCAGAATCCGGAGTTCCTGTGATCCAGTGTCCTTCTGATTGCTGCACCAGTTGTTGTGATGAAACAGGAGTTTGCCTTGCCACTTGATTACTCTCAAGATTAAGGGTTGTCCAAATTCTTGTTCTTGTTTAGATTGTAGCAGCTAAGCGTCATGTTCTATTTAACTACCTGCTAGATATCAAGGGTGTGGCACTGTATCATTTGAGTGCCAAGATTATGCCTCATCATTGCGTTGCTGTCTCCACGTTTCTGGCCTATTGCAGGCCCAGGGACCACAGTGGATTCACACAAAAAGCTGGATTGATTGATTGTTGAGGCTTTGGTGCACCATGAACTGCACCTGGCTGGTAGAAAACCCAAAGAGCGCGCCTATAGCTAGTGTGAGCTGCAGCGACGATTCCGAAGAGTGTATGGATACGTCTAAAGGGTTGCGTCTAGAGAATAATACTCGTTTACTATATATTCCTTTCTACAAGTTGTCGTGGGGTTGTGTTGGTGTCGGATGGGTCGTGTTGACTGTATTACGTGGAACGAGCCAGACTAGCTAGCGGCTATATTTCGCAGGTCACAAGTCGTTGCGAGTCGAATTGATGTATGCAACCCGTGGATCGGATGGATTCGAAATCACACATCTGTAGCCGAGTGGAACCGCAAGCGTCGATTGGTGTTCTGCTGATGGCGCCGTCTTGGCGAGTGGTGTTGTCCCTTGCCTCCAAAGTTTTGTCCCATCGACCCATACCTTGGAACAAGCCTGTGGGTTGACGCAGCGGTACCCCTACCACCACGATCTCTTCTGGCTGTCGAGCTCCATTGCTGGTCGTGTCTTTTTTGTCGCTCTTTGCTTCCTTGCTGGGTCGTCTGTTTGCCTTCAAGAAGCCGAGGAAGCTCAATTGGCGCGCGGATTGGGGCAGATTGGGCAAGGGGCCAGTGTGTACCAGTTTCATTTTGCTGTGTTTGTGCTTTTGTGTTTTGCGAGTTTGTGAGCTCTTGCCGATGACGACACGCTGAAGCAGCCAGGAAACTGGTTGTATCGTGCATACCAGGACCGGGAACCAGACTGGATCTGAGCCTTGCAATCGCGTTTGCGTACTGTACAGTTTGTGCGGGACTTGCTCTCCCACTTGGAAGATTTAACCTGCAAGATCCAACCTCCCACCACACCTAACCCTTTTTCAAAAAATGAGTATCTTTCAGACGTGGATTGCTTTATCGAAGAGCTTGAGAAGTGAGAAGAGGGAAGAGGGGGCTTGGCCGAGCCACTACTACATGTAGCATGGGAAAGTCGAGGATTCGAGCAGGGAGATACACTGGCTTCAAAGCCCGGAATCCAGGCTTTAAAGCTTGTGTTCTTTGGAACACTGGCTTCTAGCTAGCTAGTTGTAAAGCTCCTTTACCGCGAGGTGCAGTGACGATTGATTGCTTGCATGAATAGTTCTGCCCCCCTCAATTGATGGAGGACTTGACTCGACTCTGACGGAAGCCTGACCCTTTTAATCGGACACCGTAAGTAACTCCCGCGGTCCGATCTCTTGGTGGCCTTGAGAGAATGATCAATCGAGTATCGTTCAATCGAATGATCAAAGCCCCTCCGGAGGTGGCTGGCTAGATGTAGCTACCAGCCCAGGTACTGTACCGGTAGCAAGTGCACTGGGACGGTAGCACGCAGCAGCCACCAGAACAATGAAGACCAGGCAACCAGAACCTAGCTATTTGCTTGTTTCCAAAAGCCGTAAAAGGCAGCAATTGCAAAAAGATAGAATAATGCGGGGGCTTGCCAAACAAAATAATAGCTGCGGGTGAAGCACCCAACGTGATTCCACGTGTATGTTGTGATGTACGGTAGAACGAGTCAAAGTCGAGTCGAGGAGTCAAGAGTTATTTGCTGTGTCTGGCAGTGGGAGCGAACGTCCAAGAACTAGCAACATTAAAATAAAAGTTTTACAGTGTGGGAGACAGATAGATGGAAGATGGAAGTGACATCATCAATAAGCAATGTTCACATGTTCACAGGGCGCCAACCAAACTGGAACAATACCATAGCGAACTGGCTGGGCCGAAAGAGCTGCCGAAAGCCAAGCAAAGTGAAGCTGTCGCAGACCACTATGTCTTTAAAAGAGGCGTCTACCTAGCTAGATGTAGGAATGAATCTTTCAGTTCATCTCTAGCAAGTATGTATAGTGGATGTCATGGTGGGCGGCAATGGGCAATGGAACAGTACAATCTATCCAAGTCCCAACCAAGTCTTGAGCGACAAAAGCAATCAATTGAATGATGATGGAGCTACTTCGTACTAGCTAGTACATTAGTAGATCCAATGGCGACTGGTACAGTACCAATCCAGCAGCCAGCTACCGGTTGCTGGCTACCACTCGCAAGTGGTGACACGGGATAAAGGCACCTTTACCATTCACACATCATCCAGACGAAGTTGTGGAAAGTGGAAAGCTGTCCAAGAACCATTCGAGCTGGAAAAAGCGGTGTTTTTATTGATTTCTTGCTTTCGAAGAGACTGGACTCCATTGTCTTTGAGTAGTGCTGGATGCAAGCGGTACCGCACCTTGGGAGACTCGTACGCTATTGATACTATTAGAGATTTAGACATTCTTGAACATGCCAAAAGAAGCAGGAATGCAAAAGTCTTTTGTTAAGTACCATCTGGGACTGTGTTATTTGATGGACGGAAGCATGTATTCGAAATGACTGTCACATCAATGACCCAGTGAAGGAGGGAAAGTAGAAGGCAAGACCCATCACTTTTACACTCTTTCGAGAATCTTTTGTTGGATGCGAAAATAATTGATCATCAAGGCGCAAAAGAAAGAAACACAAGACACACAAGTCCCCAAAACAGACAAACAAGCAAGTGAGAGAGCCACTACTATTTTGTTTTTATTAGTAAATATATGTTGAAGACAATGGTGGACGGCAATTCCAGTATTTCCATGACGGAAGATGGCAGTGGCTTTGTGAAGCAAGATTCGATTCGGTTCAGTCAGTCCAACTTTTTGTACCATCACAAGACGGATGAACCCATTGATGCCTACTATACGTTGGGTGAATTGTTGGGTGAAGGTGGCTTTGGAGTGGTCTATCGCGGCACCCACAAGAAAACGAAAGCCCAACGCGCCATTAAGCGCATGGAAAAAGATCCTCGCGATCAAGAACTCTCCGAAGAAATCATACGAGAATTCGAGTTTTTAAAGGAACTCGATCATCCCAATCTCATCAAGGTTTACGACATGTTTGAAGGTGAGTCTATCATGTATTGATTATCCATTTGATTATCGTTGATTAGTCAGAAGAAGTTGTCTGAGGAACGGAAATTCGGGTAGCGGAATCTGTGGGCGTTTTGTGGTCGGATACCCAAGATTTGCTTGAGACTCGTTATTGGCGTTGGCTGAGTTGGAGCTGCAAAACTGTTGGCTTTTTGTCAGTTTTGCTATACAGAAGGAAATTTCATGTCCTGATCTCTTGATCTCACTCTCTTGTCTTTTTCTCTCTTTCTTTGGCTGTTTTCTATATACCGGTACCCATGTGTTCCCCTATCTATGATTATCTATCTATCTATAGACAAGCCCAATTTCCACATTGTGACGGACTTGTACGGTGGAGGGGATCTCATTGATTATCTGGAAGATGCCGTCCATTTGGTGGAAAATCAGGTACAAATCTTTATGAACAAGTTGCTGTCTTGTATCGAGTATTTGCACGATAGTCGTTTGATGGCCCATCGCGATTTGAAGCTCGAAAATATTCTCTTGGATACCGATCAAAACTTGGCGGACCTCAAATTGATTGATTTTGGTCTGGCCCGGCATTTCAAACCCGATGAAACCTTTTATGAACTCTGTGGATCCACGGCCTATGTGGCTCCACAAGTCATTGAAGGAGAATACACGGCAAAATGTGATATCTGGAGTTGGTGAGTTACACACAAAAAGAAAAAGAGAAAACAAAACTGCAATCCTGCCACTGTGTTGTGTCTATTTTTTCATCTCATCGCATCCTTTTCCATTTTCCATTTTTACAGCGGCGTGATTGCCTTTAGTCTTCTCTCCGGGTACACTCCCTTTGAAGGATACGATGACGGAGAAACCCTCCAAATCATTCTGGGAGGAACCTTTGATTTCAACGATCCCGTCTGGGAACCTGTTTCCAAGGATGCCAAGGATTTCATTTGCAATTTGCTGGCATACGAAGAAAAGGATCGACCTACGGCACATCAAGCACTCTCTCATCCATGGTTGCAAACTCATCGAGCCACTCAACTCGATGAAAGTACCACCGACATGGACACGTCTTTACGAGAATCGCTCCGAGGATTGCGACACTTTACATCGAAAGGATGCAAACTCAAGCAAGCCGCTTGTGCCATTTTGGCTTCGCAGATTCTACAAAAGGAAGAAAAGGAAGCACTGACGCACGATTTCCAATTCCTCAATCGCAGTCTCGGAGGAAGTATTACCCGACAGGATTTGCGTCAAGCGCTCGCCGATGTCGACATGGATGACAGCGATGCCGCCGTTGATGCCATTATGGAACAGGTCAATTTTAGTGGCAGTGGAGCGTAAGTAGTTGGGAGCGAGCATGAACGATTTATGGATGGATGATGGCGTGACTAAGAATTTGATGATTTTATTTGACTCATCGTCTGCCGTTGCTCCTTTTCTATTCTATTCTTTAGCATTTCCTACTCGGAATTCTTCATTGCCATGATGTTTGAACGAGAAATGGTCGACGAGAACAAATTGCGTCTCGTCTTTAATTTGTTGGACAATGACGCCGATGGTGAAATTTCGGTCGCGGATCTGCAAGCAACACTTCATTTGGCAAAAGAATCGTGTGCCAAAATGCTGGCGCCGCTCAACTGCAATGCCAATGGAACTCTCTCCTTTGAGCAATTCAAAGATACCATGCTCTCCGAAGAAGACATGGATGGATCCAACTACATGCACAGCTCCTTTCGCATGCACGACGAAGGTGGCAGGAAACGACTCGATTCCAGTGATGACCTGCCCGAAACGGTCGTGGAAGTCGACGAATCCATGCCGGACGAAAGTGCACACACGCAAAAGACTGGGACTACAGCTGGTGAAACACCCGTCCCAGAAGAAGAAACTCCGGCGCCCGAAGAACCTGCCAAAGAAGAGGAAACTGCTCCTGCAGCAGCAGAAGAAGAAGCCAAAGGCGAAGAAGAGGAGGAGACGACAACCAAAAAAGAAATGCCATCCACCGAGGAAGCCCCACCTGCCAGCGCAGATGGAAAAATGTCGATTGAGAGGCTACGATTTGTGTACATGTGGTACATGCGTTTTGGTCACCCCGATCGCGCCACCATGATCCGTAAAGCCTCCAAGATGGGCGACGGGTGCCCCATTAGCAAAGAAGAGATCATGTCGTTGCCGTGGAAGTGTGGAGGTGCTTTTATCGCCGTCAAGGACATTAATGCCGCCAATGCATCCAACGTCGACGCCGGGTCCGGTGACATTACCAACAAGCGATCCAGTTTGAAAGATGATGCCAAAGCCTCCGCCGAAGCAGCAGCAGCCGTCGAAGATGACAAAAAAGAACCCGAGCCCACGCCGGAGCCAACACCCGTCACACCCGAACCTGTCGATGCCAAGGCTCCTGAAGTCAAGCCAGAGCCCGCTGCACCAGCACCGGTTGAGGCAAAGGCAGAGGAAACCAAACCGGCGTTCATGATGCCATCCCAAGTCAAGGCAGCCAACAAAAACAAAGTGGCTTCTTTGGCCAGCAGATTTGGGGGAGCCGCTCCCACGCCAGTACGAACGGCTTCGAACAAAAATCCTCTGAAAGTATCCAGCGTCCTGGCGGGAGGGGCCAATGACGGCTTCACGACGGAATTGAAGATAGACTCTATTCACTCCGAATCCGGCAAAGCAGAGACAGTCAAAAACACCCGACAAGCTGCATCTCGAAGGGATGTAACCATCTTTGGCCCCACCAAGAAGGCGCCCGATTTCGATTGGAATTCTCTGGAAAACAAGACACTCAAGATTGCTTCCGTGGAAGAGCGAAAGAATATCAAACCTGACTTCAACTGGACGTGCATTGCAAGGGCTGACATGGGCACCGACGAAAGCAACAAGGAAAATGGTGACAGCGATGGACTCGACATGAGCAAGGAGAGCCACGAAGAAGTGGGCATGGACAACAGCAAGGACGAAAGCGAGGCCACCAACCAAGATGAGAGCCGCGATACCCTTGACATGTCGTTGCCTCATCCTAATGACATGCATGACAATAGCGAAATGAGCTCGTCGCCTGGCAACGACCGTATGTCTGCTTCAGAGCCTGGGACAAGCCAGAGGAGAAGGTCCAGCAACATCTACACGCCCGGCGCAAAATCGGCAGATTCGCAGAAAATGAAATTCCCCAAAAACAACCGACGCGGTTCTACTGGCATGCCGCCGAAGAAGCGCACAGACAAGAGCGGAAAGCGCAGGATTTCAACGAGGGACTAAGACTAGTGAGTTTGTGATGGGGTTTGCGCCAGAGGTTCATACGACAACCGCTAGTTGGACAGGGGTTTGTCAATGTTTCTGTTTGTGGATGTAGTATGGAGCCACCGTACATTTTTTAGTGATGTCGTAAAAGTATGCATAAGATTTGTAAACCTTTTACATTCAGTTCCTTGTTTTCCCTCACCGCCGACAATAGAGTTCAACAAAGATTCAATCATTTCAGCTTGCAACATTGCGCTTGAAACCTGGGTTGCCTCCGCCAGGCAACTGGCTACCGTGGCTTGCTGGTAGCTGCTGTGGTGCTTGGAGTGGCGTTTTAGATCGTGTACACCACAAACCAAAACACAAACAATATGAAGCAACTTAAATCCTCCGAAAGATCCAATTAATCTTGAGAGCACACGTAAATAAATCCTGTGATTCCTTCAATAAAGCTTTGAGGCAGGTACTAAATCCGCCGAATAATTATGTGGCAATCCCCTTCGGCCTTCACTCTTCATCCACTCTTGCAACTTAGCTGCTCTCGCAGGTCGCAGCACCGCAGTCAGCACTACCTCAGCCGTCGGAAAGCACATTATTCACACGCAGCTCTGAACAAGCGACCCCATGAGAGCTTCCCCAACCCAGAACGGGTGGTTGATCCATGCTGCCTTGATTTTGGCCAATTCCATCTTTGGCCTTGGATCCATTGTGGGTGCGTTGGGTATTTCCAATGATACCAATCCCTTGGCCTTTACGTTTGTTCGGGAGATATGCTCAGGGGGGATCTTGTGGTGCTTGAGTGCCCTCTTTAGCAACAGCAATCAGAAGAGTCTTCCAGAATTGTCCAACTGGCCTCGCTTCTGGAAGCTGGGTTTTCTACTCTTTCTCAATCAAGCAGGATACATTTTGGGGATTGTGCTGGCTGGTCCTGTTGCCGGAAGTATCTGGCAACCCAGTGCTCCCATTATAACCGTTGTCATTTCCATGATTGGAGGCTTGGAACCATGGAATGCTAGAAGAGTCGTGGGAGTCATGGTGGCTTTTGGAGGATGTGCCGCAATGGTGGTTTTCAACAATCAAGGAGATGATGCCCCACACGGCAGAAATCTGAACGTTTGGATAGGCAATGGTATGCTCCTTATGGATTGCATAGCTGCAGCTTTCTACATTCTTTCTTCAAAACCAGTCTTGGTCAACTATTCTGCTTTGACCGTAACTGCATGGTCTTACATTTTGGCATCGTTATTCATGTTTGGCGCTATCCTTTTTGCTGCCTCAGTGCCTGCCATTGGTGCGTTTATCTGCCCATCCTGCAGGCAACAAGAAAGTTGCCTTCCAACAACCACAATGCCTCTATCTGCTCTGATCTATTACATTTTGCTCCAATCTGTTGCTGCATGGGGGATGATTATATGGGCAAACCAGTTTGCAACAGCAACTCTAGTGGTTGGATACTCTGTCACCCAGCCCATGAGTGCAGTCCTCTTTGCATGTCTTTTTTTGGCTTCTCAGTGGGTGAAACCTTGTCACCACAACTCTGATGGTTCTTGCCTGGATGAACCAGAGTTTGGAGCTCTCTGTGGCATGGCTGGTGTGACAGTTGGGTTGGTTCTTGTTGTTCAATCTGAACCACAGGATCCTGCATCCACTCAGCAAGAAGTTGATGACATCAAGAAACATTCCTTCACCACAGCAGACTATGGAAGCCTGAATGCCAATGTGGACATTTGAAGTGATGATTCCATAACCGTTTCTAGCGATGGAGCATGAAATTGTTCTTTGACAGAGGGGTCTCTCCAGTAGTGGAACTACTTCCAGAACGGGATGCCTCCACAGATGATGGGACACCTGTTCCTTGCACCAATGTCACAATCTTTGGTTCACTGAAACCATCAAAGACTTCAGTCTCACCAGAACCTGGCCAGGTAATGGATGATTCATAGTCACTGACATCACTGGACCCCATTCCAAAGAACAATGTCTTCTCCTCTGTGCTCATGGCTGCAGAACCAGCTGATAGGATCAAGGTTTGCTTGGGCCCACTTCCATCTTTTCTAGAGAGTTGAGCAACAGCTCCAATGGCTTGGTGACTAGTTTTGGGTCCAGTTCCCTCCAATCGAACACCAAGCCAGTGGTTGCCATTTGGCTCTCCATATAGAATCAAAGGCCGACCACCTCTAGGGCCGGGAACACAGCCATCAACGGCAACGACAATGTCAAGTGAACCATCTCCATTGAAGTCTCCTGAAGTCATAATGATATTGAAGTCTCGGGTAAGGTTGACAGGGGAGTACTCCAGGCGGGGACAGGGCGCTCACATAAAGGTCGAGCAATCCATCGTGATCAAAGTCATATGCTGAGCTTGAAATAGTGTAGGGCAAGTCCTTGAGGACTGGAGGTATCACATCTATAAAGTTCATAGCACCATCGCTGCAGTAGTTGTTTTTAGGCATGAAGTTGCCAGTGAAGCTGTCCCCAGTAAAGGCTCCAGTGAGCACAAGATCATCGCATCCGTCATTGTCCAAGTCTATTGCTAAGCAGGTGAGGACACTGTCTTCATTGTGGACTAGACCCCACTGCTCTGATACATCGTGGAAGACTCCAGATCCAACGTTAAGCATGAGAGCATTGGGAAATCCTGGTCCGCTCACAAAGTACAAGTCCGGAGATCCATCATTGTTGACATCCAGTGTGCAGACACCAGCTGCCATGGGAGTTTTCTTGATGTCCAAAAAGGGTACATAGCTTTGCGTGTATGCGGGCAAGACTTGCTCCGTCACATCCACAAAGGCCGCGAGGACGGAGGCTCCACCCAACATGGTTGCAAGGAGCACAGATCGTTGAAAGAGCATGGTTGTGGAGGGTTTTTGTAGTTTGTTTTGTTCGCTACGGGTGCTTGCACGCTGAGTCGAGAGAGAAAATGATCACAAGGAGAAACGGAAAACAATCCTCCGATGCGTGATCCAGATCCTGATAGAGCAGCTATTGTTTTCCAGTGGATACAATGGCCCGAGCCTCATCCAATCAATCTTCGGCCCCTCTTTCTTTCGCAGAGTTAAAGGTGCCTGTACCAATATCCTTTAGCAAGGAAGGAAGCACACATAGGTAACCTATACTGTACTTGATCGATCTACAGGGGCTCGCGTCTCCGTATGCATGCCATGTTCGAAATGCCTCAGTTGCCCAAAAGCACGATTTTGTGACTGAAAAGATCTCATCCTGACTGTGACTCTGTGAAGAACGTCGATCTGTCACTGGTTTAGCCTATGATGGTTTTACTGTACAACGTTGTACTCTAGCTTGTCAGTACCAGAAAAAAGAACACTTCCCCAGTGAAGAGCAATGACTCAAAGAGCCTGAGCCAATCTTCTCACAAATTGCAGTTTGGCAGCCAACAATCCGCATCAAAACAGGTTCACAAAATTCAAAAAGATACAACCAAAAACCAACCAAGAAAAATTTACAAACATGAAACTCTCCTGCACATGGCTTACTTTCAATTTGGCTCTTTTGGCCAGCAGAAATGGCGCAGAAGCTCGCCGTCTTGGCCAGCATGGACCGGGTATGGAAGATTTGATCAGCTATGAATCTACCGGTGGCACTTCTGTGTCCGTTCCAAGGCAAGATCCTGCAGCGTCTTCATCCTCTCCTGTAAAGGGAGGTGTCTACGTGAATATGAACCAAATTGATAATAATCAAGTCGCTGCTTTTCGACGCAGTGGCCTTGACGGAGATGAGCTGGAGCACGTTGGCAACTACGACACTGGCGGCGAGGGATTCCCTTACAAGAACGATATCCTGTTGCCTGACAACGCCCTTGGAACCCAAGGCGCCTTGTCTGTGTCAGGGGACTATGTGTTTGTCGTCAATGCGGGCAGTAATTCCTTTTCTCAGTTCAAGATCAACACAACAGACATGTCTCTGTCGCTCATGGGAGTCACCCCGACTCCTCAAAAATTCCCTTGTACTTTGGATGCTCGGGTGGATCTTAATACGGTGTGTGTAGCCATGTGTGCTGGTGAGGGTGCCATTGCCTGTTACGAGATTTCCGATGAAGGCGGTCCATTGGCAGAAGTCACCAAGGTTGGCGAGGGGAGCGTTCTCACCGAGATCCACCGTGTGCCCAGCTTGGGAATCCCAATTGGACAAGTCCCCGTGGGCAATCCAGAAGATCCCGCCAACGAAACCAGACCCGGAATTAATGTCCTTGTCAATGTGAAGCAGATTCTCTTCACTCCCAGAGGTGATGCCCTGTTTGTGGCCATTTTCGACCAGGGCATTTGGGTTTTCCCAACGGAACAAGATGAGAGTAGCACAGGCGTTGCCTTGGGTACACCCGTGCTTCATTCGATTGATTCGGGCGACCTGTCCTTCCAACACAGACCCTTTTCCTTTGCGTTCCAAGAGAAATCTTCTGGGAGTCTTCTTCTTCATGTCCAGGATCCCTTTGCCACAACTGCTGGGGAGCTCTTTTTTCCACCCAACATTGGCGTAGCGTTGTCGGCCGGTGGCACCCTTTCTACGTACCGAGTCGAAGGATCCGGCGCCAACACGAGCTTTGTCGTAATCAGTCCTCAGATTGGTGCCGGACAAAAGGGCTCGTGCTGGTGCGCCTATAACAACGGGACCGTCATTACCACCAACACCGCCGGAGGGACGATTACGGTATTCCGCGAAATGGAGATTCTAGGTGAGGGTATTTACGATGTGGCAGCAGCAGCATTGAAGGGAACCGAAAAGGATCTTGGTGTGGTTGGCTTCAATGGAGGCCCCTTTGCCAACTCGGGTGGATCGCCCATCTCGGCCATGCCAGTCGATGTGGCCTTTAGCCACGATGGTGCTTACTTTTATGTTCTCAATGAAGCCGCCGTGGGAATCGATATTTATTCGGTGGACCCAACCGAGAACACCGTCACCAATTCGGAGGATCGAGCCAAGCATGTTGGCTTCATTGCAATTCCTGGCGTGCCACACCCTACCAGTGACAAGACTTTGGCAGGTGACGATGAAGAGTGGAAGCGCCAGATTGACTATTGGCAGGCATGGAGCGGTGCCCTAGGCATGCAAGGGATGGATACTTATCCACGCCCACGTGCTTAAGCCGAACATTCGGTATACGAAGTCGAGTAGATACAGTTAAAAAGACTGATTCTATGTAAAATGAATGCATAAGATTAGAAAAACCAAAGAAAGGATACAAATTCTATCATCACGATGTTTGAAATCGGGACCCATAGCTGGGCAACGGACAACCGCGATTGCCTCGTCTTACCCGCCATTCGGGACGTGCACCCTCTCCCCGTGTGGCGCTCACAGATCGTCGCCTTGGTTTTTAGACACTACCAACAAACCAGATAGCTCATCATCAACCAATAAGTTCGGCCTCTTTTTCGTCTCCATGAAGAGATTTAGGCTGCCATAATCTACAGACGCAGTCAAAGGAGTTTCAATAGTGTCATCATCTTCCACTTTTGTTGTTGGCTTGGTTCCGTCTTCCAGTTTTGCTGTTGGTTCCGTTCGAACCACAAGTGCCAAGCCACATGCCACCCCAGCCATACCACAGAAGGTTCCAAAACCTGGTTCACTAAGACAAGGTCCCTCCTCGTTTGATTGGCAAGATTGCACCAAATGAGTGAAAAGAAATAGAGTTGTAAAGAAGATGGAACTTATGGGCTGGGTGACACTGTATCCCACAACCAGAGTTCCAGTTGCATATTGATTGGCCCAAAGAATCAATCCCCAGGATGCCACAGATTGAAAGAGAATGTAATAGGTGAGCGCAGGGAAGGTGGCTCGTGGGATTGTGATGGTTGGAAATGTACCCTCTTGTAGACTGCATGCTGGGCAAATCAACGTGTCAATAGAGGGAACTGAGGCTGAAGACAAGGCAGCAATCAACATGAATACAGATGCCAGAAGGTAGGACCATGCAGTTACGGTCAAAGCTGGATAGTTGAGCAAGACCGGTTTTGAAGAGAGAATGTAGAAAGCAGTGGCGGTGCAGTTCATCAGGAACAAAGCATTGCCAAGCCAAAAGTTGAGGGTTCCACCATGAGTGTCATCTGATGCTCTGTCACTGAGAATGACCATGGCAGCACATCCTCCAAAAGCCACCATGACTCCCATGACTCTTCTTGCATTCCATGGTTCCAAGCCTCCAATCATTGAAATGGCAACAGTTATGATAGGAGCACTGGGTTGCCATATACTTCCTGTAACAGGACCTGCCAGCAGTATTCCCACAATGTATCCTGCTTGATTGAGAAAAAGTAGAAACCCCAGCTTCCAGAAGGAACGCAACTGAGATAATTCGGGCAGCGTCTTCTGATTGCTGTTGCTACAGAGAGCACTCAACGCCCATAAGATTCCTCCAGAGCAAATTTCTCGAACAAACGTAAAGGACAAGGGATTGGTATCTTGGGAAATGCCCAAGGCGCCCACAATAGATCCAAGGCCAAAGATAGCATTGGCCAAAATCAAGGCAGCATGGATTGATTGGGTAGCCGTCATGGAGCTCTAGAAGAATGATGAATCTCTCTTTGGGGATAATGAAAGGCGGATAGAGCCATAGCTAGCTAGTGTAGGTATCAGCGGTGTTCTTTAAAAATGGGATCAAAAGCTCATGCAAGCACCGTAGCATTGACACCTTCCGGAGCTTGCCATAACCGGAGCTTTGGTGTCTTCTCAAGATGGCGGTGGTACAGGTACCGAGATGATGGCCTAAGAAGTTCGAAGAAGACTACAGTATCAGTCTGCAGGGCCAATGATACACACAGACTCCAGAGTAGAGATGATCTAGCGACTCGGAGAGTCCGGATTGATGGTCCACCACATGGTCGAAAGCACAGCTGCTGTAGCTAGGCCTGGCTATCCAAAAACGTGCTCTAGCTGGAAAGGGCTTTGTTGGATCGTTGCATTGCAGATACTGTGTACAAAATGAATGAATGAATTACATTATGAAATGACACTGGCTGCATACAGGCACAAGATACGGAGTTGCCGGGCTTGTTGCTTGTTTGGCAAGGGCAAAGACATCCTTAATCCTTAAAATCCTGGCCTCGCGGCTCTACCGTACCAGTACTAGTACCAATACAACACCTGTCCCACACACTTGATATCAAGCAGGCAGGTTGGTAGAACAAGGCTTTACAGCAGCTGCAGATCTAAACAAGAACAAGAATTAAGACAACCCTTAACCTCGAGAATAATCAAGTGGCTAGGCAAAGTCCTGTCTCATCACAACAACTCGTGCAGCATTCAGAAGGACACTGGACGACAGGGACTCCGGTTTCTGAATTGGGCAAACAGTCAACCACAACCTTGGAAGCTATTCCCCACCAAAAAGATTCCGGCAGAAAGTGCGACGGGATACAGCTTACAATTCAGCTTTACAGCTTTACAATTAGCAGGCTTATTCTAGAAAACCGGAGAGATACTTGTGCTTTGGGTCTGTTCTGGTCACTACTTCTTCATTACTTTTTAAACTATAATATGAACACAAACTCTGATTTTGCGTGAAACTCCATCGCCATGCAGGATCAGATCCATGCATCTCTTTTGGCTGGTATAACCAAGCTATCTTTCTAGATAGGCCATGGCTGAGGAACTGCATCATCCTTCCTTGCAGAGGAACTCTATTCCTCTACAGCTGTTCCTATCTTGTCTGATGGTGACACAGTCATTGTACTGAAAGAGTGTACAGATGCAGCGCGATCTTTCCACCAGACTGAGCCAGCACAGCTGCGCCGCACCCATAATATGGCTCCTAGGCATAATCTCATCGATTCAGTCAATCGGTCAATCGAGATGGAATTATGAGCTTCCAACACTTCGAGTGCTTGAATCGCTCGTTCAATGACAATCGATCGCGACTGACCTTCACGGAGCGATTGATTGCTCGGATCTTGACCTCTCGTAAGGAGCGATTGATTGCTCGTTCAACGACAAACTGCAAGCCAAACAAACGACCAATGCCGGTCCTGGGTAAGCAGAGACCAACTGCGATTGATCAACAACAACACAGGGCGATGGCTTCGTTCCGTGTGGGTCTCCGTGTTGTTTTGTTGAGTTAATGAAAAAGTGAGGAGTTTTCTTCGAAGATATAAGGCAAGCATGACTCAGCCATTCGAATCGATAATAAAGACCCTCGAAGCATGATTCAAGGCATGACACACAAGCCGCCTTCCATATGCAGTCGAGCTCATTTTTCGATGAATTCTGTTAATCGACGGCCGATCGATCGATCCATGCTCAAGCTGAGCATGTCAAGGCTTCGCCGGTGATAGAGATAACAGTAATACAGTAACAGTAACGTAGTAACAGTAGTGGCTCCTGCAGATGATCGATTGATAAAGGTCTTCATTGAGATTCGATCTCATAGGATTAAGAACAAGGGACTGCTTTTGAGCAAATCCAGATAAAGGATCCTCATGAGATTACGATCGTCAATAGGAGTAAAACAAGGGGATTGCTTTCGAGCGAATCCAAGGGATGAGTTGCAATAAAGGGAAGGACTACGATGAAGAATGCAAGAGGAAACTCATCAGGAGCAATCTGCATCAAGGAGTAGCACATCCATTGACAACCATAGGGATAGAAGACTATAAGAAATAGAATGAGTACATCTCATAACCTCGCATGCTACCATGCGACAATACCATTGTGCATTGATTAATCTAACGATCTAAGAGATGTAAAGTTTGTATTCCAAATAAGTGAGCAGTTATTGATTAT